TTACAATTATATGACTGAGTGCAAAATTACAATGGTCGCGTTTTCCATTTGAGACTTCTTGAACCGACAATTAGCCTTCTGGTTAAAGCAGGGCATGTTTTACCTGGGGCTTTACTATTCATTCGAAAATAATGGAGACGCTTATTTGGAAGTGATAAAATATTGTAGCGTTTGCGCAAAAAAAAGTATTGTTGCGTGTGAATTTCTAGATGATTAAACACGTGCTGTCAATAAATGGAGAGATGTCCAAGTTACGTGATTGGAAGCAGCCGGTCCACATGGGATAACTCGAGGCTCTGCTCAGGAGCAACACAGATACTATTCTATCATTCGTGAAGATGTTGTCCTAGCGGGAAACCCAGAAATGATAGATTTTGCCGGTGTGGCTGGCCAACATAATCAATTGTCATTTGAAAAGAGTAAAAGACAGCAACATCCGTTCACACACAGGAATTGCTTCGACGTGATTGCTTTTTCTGCTTGCGAGTTGACCTGTTGGGATTGCGAGCCAATTCTTGGTGAACAAGCGTTCGTTTATGAGCAGCAATCTCAGCAAGGAGACTGACGGAACTAGGACAATGATTTGGCTGAGCAAGTACAGAGAAGTAATCCAGCATGGCAGGAGGTGTGAGCCAAGATGAGTAAAGCAAGCTAGTTTTGAAAGAGGCAATGAGCAAGTGCTGCTTTAAGAAGTGAACTACATAGCATGAATACTACAAGTACAAATGGATGGGAAGCCACGATGTATCACGTTTTAAACATAATAGGAGGTTAGTTTGCTACATTTCTGATGGCAAGGACGAATGGCAAACTTTAAAAAGGATGGCAAGTGTGAGCAGACATTTAAAAATAAGTTTCAGATATTTAAACAAGTTAAATGATATCCTCAAAAATGGCAAAATTCTAATTCCATTGTTTTCACATTTCCATTGTTTCCAAATTAAAGACAGGGGTGGGGAACGTCCGAGCCGCGGGCCGCATAAGGCCCGCAAAATCATTTAGGCTGTTCCAGCCATTACATTAGGAGTGAGTTATCTAAATGTGTGACCAAATATAACAGGTTAATTTTTAAGTTGATAATTTTGTTTGGCCCGCGAATGATGTTATAATTATCCAAATGGCGCTTGGCAGAAAAAAGGTTCCCCCTCCCCCTGATTTAGAGTATTCAACATAAAGTTGGGCATCGAGCAATGCATGCAACGCTTTTTTTTAAACAATACACATGACTATTCTTGGTTCTTACGGTAAAGTCACGTAGAAGGGAAACAATAAAATAATAAAAATATAAAACAATATTTTTGTTATTATATTTTTTTATTATTTTTATTATTATGTTACTGTTTCACTTCTACGTGACTTTACCGAAAGAACCAAGAATATGAATCCCTGCAGTCACGAAAGCTTTAAATAAAAAAGACACATGACTGTGTATGACTCATTCGAGTGAAGAACCCCACAACGAAAGCAACACTTTTCGAAGCTACGGTTTAAAATTTATTCGTAACCACGACATTATGTCATTCAATAAATCCACTGGACAACCAGTAAAAGTTGACATTTTGTCAAAAATACTACTATGGCTCAAGACAGTAGCTACGTGGCATACTAGATTTTTTTTTTCCCGATAGATAAGAGCAGATAGACTATTGACCTGATCATACAATACAGTATTAGCAATAATAATGAGCCGTTTGTCATACATTTGGGGAGGGGCATTCAATAGAAGTGTGATCACGACACAAAAAGGGATATCCACCTGCAAGAAAACTGCTCTTTGATTTTGGCCTCATTACATGAACAGAAGAGAGGTCTCTTTTTCACTTTAAGGAATAAGACTGAGCACACATTCCTCTTGGTGCTGCCGGATAACATCTTACGTTTAAAACTTTAATTGGCCGTTTAAATAAATTAAAAACCCACAGAGATAAAGGAATTCTCCACGTATTCATGTTATTGTTAATTTCTCCTCATGATCAAATGTTAGAACATTTTGAAAATAAATTTACCAACACGGTACAAAGCGTTGAGGAAAATTACACAGTATATACTAATACAACGATTTGATTTTTCAACAGTAAAGTAATTACCTCAATATGCAGTAGCAGTTATTAAAGAACCTGTAAATAAAACAGTACACTACTACATATACTCAGTGTTAAAGAACAGTAAAATGCCTCTTTTTTGTGCAGGAATACATTAACCACAACTGGGTTAAAATTCAAATGAGTTTCTTCCCACAAAACCAGAAAGTTTTCACGCCAATAAGTCATAAATTCTAAGGCGAACGAGTATTTTTTTCATATTCAAAAATATACATTTTCTAAGATTTCTTTCTTCCAAAACTCAATGGACAACACATATAAAAACAGGGCAGAACGTTTTCACCTTTTAGTCTATGATGAAAGCATAATAAATCAATAAAAGTTAAGGAATACAAATAAACGCAAGGCATCGCCTTTTCAAAAGGAATCAACAAACCTCATAGGGTGGGTATATTTAACGACATGGGTTTGTAACTGGCCTTATTAGGCAGATTTATATGCTGTCTTACTTAAGCCACCTCGTGGCTTTCGGCAAGTTGTATGAGTTAAAGGCGCTGGGAGGTACATCGAAGCCTGAGCCAGAACACAATGTGATGATTGGCGCCTCTAGGCAATTGCAGTATATCATGTCATTCAATATACCTGCCCTGTAAATTGCCTTTGGCTTCCTTAAAATGGCAAATGACAATAACGATATAGATTCATTAACAATACTCTATGGGCAACAACATTTTCTCAATAAATTACAGATTTGCTAAAAAAAAGTATAAACAGGAATGCGGGTTTTTGCAGTGTTCAAAGGAATGCCTATCTAAACATGTTTTTCTTTAGTTTGACATACAATGGGCTACGGCATAGCAGTAAATACATCCTATGTACACAGCAAATCTGACATGTAAGCCACTTGTCAAAAGGCAGCCCATGTGCACCTCTAATCCGGCAGGCTCCCCTCTGCACAGCCAAACGCTCGTCCCTCCTGCAAAGCTATCCCTCGTCGTGTGCAATTCGGACCTTCCATTCAACTTCGACATTTTTCCGGAAAATAGTTTACCGCAACGTTCAACCTTGCATCTCTGTTAAGTACTCAAAGAGGGAGGGGAACACATCCCCAAAGCAGTATAAAATGTCACAAAACCATGGTACCGATATGAACGTGATTCTCGCCCATTTACATGGAGTAGAGATAAATACCACGTGACTCGCCAACAAGAGCATTGCTACGTTCATTCACGGAACCTTGAAGCATCTTCACAACATCCACAGGGATGTCGTGTTTCCTCACTTATACAGGACGTCGTGGCATATCCACCTGTTATGTAACCACCCTGACCGATCGCTAACATGCCCACTGCAGTAGCTGCACATGGTGTAGCGGTCATTTTCTACAGATATTCACATATCCGACCTTTTCGCATATCTGCCTATAATGCGGATGTGCAATGCTGTACTGCATTTTTATTTTACAATAGCACTTTAGTGAGCTCTTATTTACTTTTAAAAGATGGTAAATAATATCTCCCTATTACAGGTATGCCATCAGTTACCAATTTGTGGCTGTTGTATTGGGATCTTGTGGGACAATGTTGTGACCATAATACCAATGTGTACAAAAAATCTTGATCTTAAGATCATACTGAGAAAACTGAGGAGTCATATTTTACGTCCACCAAACATATGATTATAAAACCCATACTTGCAGCCACATGAGCTGCATAGCTAACTCAGTCATTACTTTCTGGTGTCTCAGTAAACCTCAATTATTCGCCAAAATACATAATGGTGAAATTTGTGTCCATTATTGTTGCCTTGCCAATTTGTTCATGAGCAAAACAAGTAAGAGAATAATTAAAAACCACTCTCTGTTAAAAACCGTTCCCCATTACCATGCAATATATGTGTAGTCCCTTCACTCTTTTTTACCATTTAGGTTTTTTTTCTGCTTCAATAAAAGGCCAATTGTACACCTCGTGTTGATTTGTTGTGCGTGAAGACAAGCCAAGTGTAACTCTCTTAAAAAAAATACATCTTGTGGTCAAAACTTTAGAAAACTTCTTTCGTGGACTTTTACAATAATTTCAAATTTTGTATTTGTTATAGCACAATAATAAAGTATTAAAACTAACACATTACACTCAGAGACAGTGTTTTATTGCTACAAATCTGTACTATGAAGGCAAAATGCTTGGTAAAATCTTCCGAATAAACTATTAATAATGTGCTGTAAAAATCCATTCAAAACCTCGCACTAAATTGTAAAAAATAAATGTAAAGATGCATCCCAGCAAAGCCATGCTCGCGTCACTGCTGGAAGAATGACCTTTACTCGAGGGTTTGCTAGAGAACCCCTCTAGAGGATAATTGGTCTACTTGGAAGAGGTGGGAGTAACTACATTTTACCCCACCACTCACTGCCCGCCAATCGACTGTGGTGTCGCCCCTCATTCTGCTGGGTTTTTGACAAGATGTATGGGTGATTTAAGAAACGTTCCCATTGCTTTCACATTTCCATTGTTTCCAAATTAAATCGAACCAGCAACCTCTGGATTACAAAGCCCAGTGGTACTATTACACCACAGAAACTACCCCCCCCCCCCCACCGCCAAATACCCATGTATTTATGTGCCACGTTTTTCTCTGTTCAATTAAAAAAAAAAGAGACACTCCAGGAGTGGTGTGGAGCGGTCTCGATGGCTGCCTGGACGGGCCAGGTTTTATGCCAGTACGGCCGACAGCTGCAGGAAGCATTATGCTCTGGGCTTTGGCAAGATGTAATAACACAACCCCTTCGGTGTACCTTTTGTGTTTTGGGTTTGAGTGGGTAATCGTGGCTGTCAGGACCTATTTTCAAAAATGTGCTCGCTAATAGTTCCCCCCCCCCCCCCGCCTCAACCTCCAGCCCCCCCCCCCGCCACCACTTAAAAAATAACAATCCTACCAAAAATACAAAACGAAGGAAAATTACTTATTGCACTTTTAATATTAGACGTCTATAGTTGGCAGATAATGCTTAGTGTGTTGCTACTGGGAGGTGCCTACATCAGGGTTAGAGAACACATTACACAGATCACTAATTTGCGTTCGTCAATGGACAGCTTCAGTATAAACAGGGATTGCATTCTTAAACAGTGAGCTGTTTGACAGTATCCTGTATTTATACCAAGCATATCGAGCCACGTGCACACTAGTTTTGTTTTTTAAGGCAAGGCATGCCTAGATACTTTCAGTTCAGTGTTTTAAGCCAACCTAAAAAAAAGACCCCACAGTTTTGATGTAATGCAGTCTTTCCGTCAAGTGATATTCACATTGCGGTTCTGTTAAACAATAATATACACAATTTTACACACCGTAAAGCACATTTTGTCTTCTTTCAAAAACTACGCGATATAGAAAATATATTAAACAAATGTGTAAATACAGCATGTGCGCCCAAACAATAATTTCTCAAACAAAATATGCACAAAACAAGTGTTATTTCGGGAAAAAAAATATCACTTGTAAAACATATACAGACACCCAAAGGGTTCAAAGAGGGGCATGAACGGAGGTGAGTGGTTAACGACCCATAAAAAAGAAGAACCTTGTTCTTATCCAAAAATCAATGAAATATACAAACACAGGAGGCAGCTACGGAGATGATCAGGGGACAACATTAAACTGCAATGCAAAAGGCTGCCATGTCAAAGTATTGGGCAGCTGGCAAATGCACAGTCTACGTACGTGATGGGCCGCTTTCTTCTGGCCGGGGAGGAAACTGAAAACCTCTCACCCCCCCCCGCCCCCCCACGATTGCAAGGTGCCCCTGTGATTGTTTATGCAGCTTACTCCCACTGCCCCACACCATCACCTCTGCATCATCGGCCCAACCCCCTTGCCCTCGCTGAAGTAATAATTAAGTCACTCAGGAAAGCGTGGACATTGCTGGCAAGATTCCTTTTACAAAGCACCGCCAATGTACAAAATGTTGTTAATGAGGCCGTTATGCAAAACAAGTCCTACTGCTTCAACGTTGCTTGAAGAGAGCTGTGCTTTGATTTCATTTTATTTAAAACCTTAAATCATTAGTGCTGGGGCAACAACTTACTGAGTGATGGCTTTCCGGTACCTATCCGTGCACTTGACAAGATATTTATAATTTATATTTTCTGTACATGAAAACAAAAGTGCAAATAATCTGTAATTTTCCAATTGAAAAATAAGCGATTGGAGGAAGGCTTACCCTTGATTCGACATCTCACGAGACGTATAATACTAGAGCTCATTAACCCAATTTAAGCAAGGCATATGAATCTAAATGTCATGTTCGATTGCATCTTCCAACAGAATAACACTCAAGACACTGACATTGATGGCTTAATTCAGCAACCTTTGGATTGGCTTACTGCCCAATAGATTGTCGAAGATTGTTGTTCGTTACTTATAAAATGTTTGCCGCATATTGTCTCCTTCTAAAACAACAACACCATACCTCGCATAAGTGCGGGAAATACCCACACACCCGACCGCTTTGTCACATTTTATGAGTACAGGTGATGAAACGTAATTCCTTGAATGGCAAAAAATATGTGAGAGAATTTAAACAAACATAACGACATTTAAAATTCATGGTGAAGGAACCTTCCGCTAAAGCTTTGATGACACTTTTCATTGAAGGTGGCAGACAGTAAGAGGTCTCTCTTTGTGCCAAAACAACATGCACTCGATGTGCTATGGACCGATAGCAAAACCTCTGTTCAGAAAAAAATACAAAAAGAGCTAAGATTGCACAATGTATACTGTAGTACATACTCCGTAAGCTGTTTTAAACAACTGCCTTCGACTACAATTAAAAAATAAAACGGTCTCGGCAGTATACTCTAAATAAATGCTGAAGTGTACTTGTCAAAGGCAGCGTTAACATCAGTCTCAACGTCCTCACTCCAGGCGAGGATGCAAAATTAATGTACAGCGCCCCCCCCCCCCCAACCCTCCAGAGAGATGGAGGGCCTCATTTTAAAAGTCAGAAGCAGCACAGACACATTCTAAGGTGTTTATTTAAACGATACAAAAAAAATAAAAAAAGATTACTCTTATTCACCGATCCTCTGTAATAAAAAAAGGCTGTTGATTATTGAGTTTATCTGAATGAGAGGGAAGTGCAACCAGAGACGCTGAAAGAAGGTGGCAGCGGGAAGCAAAGGGAAGGAGTGTGTTGTTTTTCCCCTCTCGTGGGTACACGGGAAGTTCACTCCGTGACCTCTAAACAGCAGGCTCCGCTTCCATTGGCTCCATAGTCTCCTCGGTTGACCTACACAGAAAGAAAACAGCATCTTTGTAAGCATCCCAACCGAATGCAAACATCTCAGAGCTCCTGTGTTTCAGTTTGATGGCCTGTCACCCAGACTCCACATTATTAGCCCTGTCTGTCACGATGATGGGACCGTTGCAAGAGGTCACAAGGACATCAGAGCATGTTCACAGCTCTATCGTATATCACTCACGCTATTGGCAGACTCAAAATACTCGTAGTCATCATGCAGCTATGTCGAATCTAATTTACGCCGATGCATTCTGATTTACAACCAGTGGTGGATTTATTAAGTGAACTTAGAAAACATTTTAATTCCAATTATATAACATTGTGATGTGTAGATGACACCATGTTTTGCTATATCATGCAGGTATATTTGAGAGATAATGCTTACATTAATGTAAAGCTCATTACATGTAATATTAACATTTAACACGTATACAAATAACAATTTACGAATATTTACAAATACTTCACGTCCCTTTGTCAATCCACTGCTGGATGAACGACTCCCTATGCTTTGTCCAATAATGCAAGTTAAATTACCATACTTCATCGTGCTGGTTAGTGCAGGTTGGTGAAGAGGGGCCACTTCGGATATCACTCACCACTGATGTTATCCCTGGCTGGCAATTGCCCACATGGCAGCCGGGTTTATAGGTGCAGTGCATCACCATAGGTGCAGTGCATCCCACCAATCTCCCAATTAAACTATAGCCACATATTATTAAGATGTCGTTTATATGTCATTATGAAGATTAATGAAAATAGTAGGGTCCAGATTAATTTATATTTCGATTTAAAGCCTTCGTGACTGCAAGGATTCATCTTCTTTGGTTCTTTCGGTAAAGTCACGTAGAATGAGAATAAAATAATAAATTGATAAAATAAAATAACACAATAATATTCTCACGACGTTTCGGCCACAACACAAGTGGCCTTCATCAGGTGAAGGGGACGAGACTGTCTGGAGGACAGTCGTGAGAATATTATGAGAGCATATTATTGTTATTTTATTTCATCAATTTATTATTTTATTCTCATTCTACCTGACTTTACCGAAAGAACCAAAGAAGATTAATTTACATTGTTAAGCCTTTAAGGAATAATATTATATAAATCCTAAGACTGCACAAATAAAAGATGATTCTGCCATGAGAACTTTTGGAAATTTACAGTCAGATACAAGTATATATGGTAATCTTCCCACATTTGTGGGGGAAAAAAATTAACTACTCAGTCCCTTTGGAATAATGGAAATATCAACTATGCCGTCCACTTTCTAAATATAAACATGTATTCATGAAGGACTTCGGCTATGTCGTTTGAGTTCATGCCGTATATCATTAATGTAATTGGTTCAAGGTAAACCAGCTGTGCTTTTTGCCTTCACTTACGTTACAAAGTGACCGAAAGTGATTTTAGTGATGGGCTTGTTTATTACTATTCAATAACACCCAGGGGAAGGTTGAAAGTTTTGTTGTGGCCAAATGTAAACCCAATGATGGGCCATCCATCTGCCGTCAACATCTTTCTGCCTTAGTCACCGGAATGAATGTAAAAAAAACAACAAGATAAACGAATGAGCCCTGTGGATCGCTTGGAGGTCCCCCAAACTATTCGGAGCCCAAAAAAATGGTCCCCATGGTCAAGAACTTTACTGATGTGCAATATTTCCACATGTCAACACAATCATGATCGTCATTAGCCGTGATCAAACCACTGCTGGATAAAGGCCTCCCAAAGCTGCCACGATTTCTTACGATCCCATGACGTGATAATCCACCTAACATCTGCACACGCGTTCCATTTCATTGTTCAGTCTCTCAGGAGGATGTCTCTCGGACGTGTTACATTCCTTCGCTGCCACTCCGTCATTATCCTGTTCATCGTCCATCACCCACTCCAGTGGCCTGTCCTGCCCAAGCCCATTGTTTGTATCGATTGAATGTCAATAACCTGCATGTGCACCATAATCGATATTGTTCCTCTTTCCGTGTCTTCTGATGTAATACCGAGGATGTATCCAACAAAGTAATATATATGAAGACACGATTTAAAGACCATTTAAAATGCAATTGTTAATAGTTATATACACACAGGTACCAGTATTTGTACCTAAGAATTGTATAACAAAGAATTCAACTCCTCATCTGCTTTTGTGTTTAGTTTGTTGTCTTTCCCCCGCACCTCCGATTAGCGCAGTTGGCTACGTAGGGTGCAAAAAAAGTTCAACGCACACACATATATTTTTCATTGCTGTTCTGACAGCATCGGCTAGAGACGAATGTAAAGAAAGACAACCCCAACAACTTGAAAAGTCAAAGCAGGGCTGAGTGGACTGAGACCCAGAAAAACTCAAATAGCCAAAGTGGGGCTGAGTGGAGTGAGGTCGTTGTTTTCCAGCAATTGACCTGTCCCAATCAAGCCTGCTCCTTCCCAGCTGCGAGAACTAGTGAGACCTCTAAGAAAGCAGTGTATGTGCACAAACAAACAAAACTTCCACTCGGGGCGTGTCAAAACACGGCAGTGCACGCCTCCAAACACAGCCACATCTAAATAGTGGCTTCTGTCACATCGGGGTCAGCAGAGGTCCCTGGTGTGTCCTCAAGAGTAAACAAATAACTCCCGCCACCGGGAACCCCTCCACGCGTCGCTTCACATCGGCGCGCGTGTCGTGAGTTTCGGCTGGCGTCAACGTGTGGCGCAATTCAACATGCCGGTCGGCCTACATCTTTTCAGGGCACGCGAGACCGGACGAGAAGGGAATAGATGGCGGACACTGCCATTTGCAAAAAAATGAGGGCACGGTGCAAGTAGATTATGCGTAGAACATGATGCGGTTGGGATTTGTGGTCTGTGTTTCATCGGACGTAATGGAGTTGCTTGGCAATTTGAGGGTCGGAGTGAATCGCACGATTAGATCAGGCAAGCGTATTTTTAGATGTTGATCTCATTCACCATCATGCAAATTATCAAAAGACAAAAGCGTTAACATTATAAGAACAAAGAAATACAGCGTGAGCTTAGATTTTGTTAACTGATCCTCTTGGAAGTTTGAGGATTTGAAAAAAATACATTCTTGCATAAAAAAAAATATAAAAGACAATAAATACACTCCTAAAGAGGTACAATTCATGTGTATCATCATCAGCCATGATCGATCCACTGCTGGATAAAAGCCTCCTGAGCCATCGTGGTCCTGTGACGCAACAATTCACCAAGCACTTGCACATGAGCTGAATGTCATTGCTCCATCTGGCCGGTGGACGTACTTACAGATGCGTTACATTCTTGGGCTGCCAGCTGCAGATTTTTCCACCAAATAGTTGATATTCATAAAGCACCCAGAGTCATATACCACTATCAATGGGCAGGGTACAAGCACGTTTTGGAAAACATAACTTAGTTAAGGTGGGGGCAACAGGAAACTGCCAAAGCATCATACCATCATGGCACAATCCTCAACCATGGACAGTTGACTAATCAGGTTTCAATTTGTATGAAATACACACACACCTATGTGCGCAACTCTGCTACAATGGTCTGCACATGAATCAATCTGTCCCATGAAGATACGAGTAGACCTGTAGCATTCACTTTCAATGGTGGCCCTTATAGTGGTAGAAATTGCACATTACAATGCAAGGAGCCAGTTTATCCATGACTACTTCTTACAAAGTAGCACTGCTCATTTTATTGACTCCTAAAGGACGATGTCAAAGGTGATATTGATGATGGTGGGATGATTCGACCCCTGGTTCGGCTTTCATGCTCACAACTTTATCATAATTATCATGATCATCAGCCGTTATCAATTAACTGATTGATGAAAGTTTCAACCGAGCGGTGGTGAGGCATGTCTGTAATCCAGCAATGTGGACGCAGCGAGGGTTGCAGGATCACATAAATGTTGTGAAACTCCTTTTCCCCTGGGCATCGAGGAGGAGCCATAACCTGGCTTGCCAGGAGTAAACAGTATAGTGAATGTGGACCTCACCTGTTCCATCTGTATGGGATAGAGTGTTGCCCCCTCGCACGTGAGTTTTTTTTTTTCCGGGTGCACTGCTTTCCTCCCACATGTAAACACTCATTGATTGGCCGATAACACCTCAATGTATAGAGGACCGCAAAGCTTAGGTAATTGTTGGCACGTGCTGACTGCGTGTCTGCCTTCCCCCCCCGCCCCGCCTCTCCATGGTTCCCCCTCGGGCCTCTTCCTTCGAGAGCGAGTGAATACAAAGTGCCGTGTCACAAGTCACAATTATAACAACGGTGACCGTCCAACCCATGTTCAGCCCCGCCACGGCAAGCACCTGGGCTGTGCGTGCAAGCTGCGCGCCTGCTCCACGTCCATGGAGAGCGACGCCAGGGCGGTGATGGTCTCCGTCTCCTCCACCTCGTGCTGCTGTGACTCCACCAGGGAGTGGCCAACATTGGAGGCGAAGTGGGCCACAGACTTCCAGTACTTGCCTAATTTACAACAACAACAAGAAGACAAACGCGCGAGACACACAGATCGTTTTGGGACATTTTAGTAACCATGTATAATTGGAGTAAGACGTGGAAGAATAGCCGTGGGAAACGCAAAATGCACATAATCATAATAAAAAAAGAATAAATGAATAAAGGAAAAATGACAACAATAATAATTTAAACCGAGATAATCCTCTCTGATTTGCAGTTCGTTTTCCAGGAGGTCCTGGCATGACAGCAGCGATACAACAGTTCCACACAAATGACAGCTAAAATTATCGTTCAAAGCAAAATGAAAATGTCATGCATTTTGCAAACGTAAAACTCAACCAAAATAAACAATGTCATGTTTATAGACAAGAGCTCCATTGGCTTGGGCAAGTACTTTCCTGCAAAAAGACACACATGAACACGTGAAATAAAAATCCCCCTTTTTAACCTGGTTAATATTTTAAGGCAAGAACTGTTAGCGAGCACCCATCAAGGCCAAAGACACATGGCAGGGTACTGGGCCCCAAAAAGAAAAGCGTGTCTCTTTGGCCAAATAAGCCAGCGGTGACCAACACAACCCAACGCACTGGCCTCATTGTCTGCGCATTATTTTTTGGAGGCACGTTTGTGTGCGTCTCCCCGGTGCTCCTGTCGACTCACCCATACCGTGCAGTGCACTTTGTGGTTTTTTTTCTATCAAGTTCACCTTGAGGAGGTTACAATGGGACAATTACAAAAAAAAAACCTGTTGCCTCTGAAATTCTTGGCCAGGAAAAGGATTGGTCAGCGCAGTGCAGTAACAATTACGTCATTGTTGCCCCCACCTTCCCCCACCTTGGCATACACAAATGTCCCCCCCCCCCGCCCCCCCGTGGCAGCCTTAACAGACTTATGGGGCAAGTGCTGTTAGCGAGCACCTATGGAGGGCCAGCACAGCACACGAGGGGGGTGGGTGGCCAGCATCGTGCCTGGCCGCCTTTGCTTCCCATGTGATGATGTTTATGCACCACACCAGATACTCATTTAAGTCTGAGTCAACATAGGGGAGGCCCTGGACTGTTTCAAATATTCGTCACTGATGTGGGCCCGTGAGTGGGAATCGAACCTGGGATGGCGGGTTCGTAGCGCAACGCGCTAACCGCTACACTACCACTCCCCATTACACTACTCCTACGCTACTGCTCCCCATCTCAGCATGAACATACACGCACACATGCGCATACTCCATTGACTTTAGAGAGTGGACAATAAATATATTTTAATTTGTGGAATCGCACAGGCAGCTGTGTCATTCACACCAAATTGCTTCTGCTGACGTCTTCAAAGCTGAAAGCGCTTAATAACCGTGGCCTGAACACCCGGCACCCCACCTTGTAAAATAATAAATAATTTTTAATGAAAGGCTTGAAGAATTTTGTTTACAATTTGCAACGTGATCTTCAGAAAGACTAGGGGCAATGAGCAAGTGGCAGCCACTCGCTGCTGGAAACCGAAGAACATCTGACCTGACTGCTCCACAGGAAGATTATTCTGAAAGAAGGGGCAATTTCAGGGATGTTATAATGTGGCAGGACCACAGCACCCCCGGGGTCAACTGACTCTTGCAACCTTTGCCCTATTGCCTTTTCCTTCCTGAAAGAGAAACCCCAAACATGTTTTGCCTTTTATGTGTAAGTTGGTCTATTCTCGCACCGATGGATTTATGATGGTTAAAGAGCTCCGTTTTTTGTTGTTGTTGTTGTTGTTGCTCAAGATAATCTAGAATACAACGATCATTTGTATCACTCGGCAAGTTTGGTCAAATGAGACGAAGCTATTCCAAGGGCACAATATGTGCATTATTAATGTTTTGTATGGTCATACTGGATAATGATAGAGTGTGGGTAAACCCACTTCTTCCAAGATGACTGGCCATCGTGGAAGAGTAGGTCAAATTATTATCCACGAGAGAGGAGCTCTCTCTAGAGAGTTCCCTCCAGGACTGCCACTTTGGCTTAGAGTGACACTATGCATAATACGTTGGAATAAAAAAAGAATCTAGGTGTTTTTTTTATATACCATCATCTTCTTACACGGAAAGTTCTGGCTTTTGCCTTTGTAATTTTATTGACAGTTATTTAATGAAAGTTGTCCCTTACTCTGGATGTCGATGACCTTCTCTAGAGAGACCACGGCGTTAGGGTTGGGCTGCTGTTGAAGGATGTCCATGGAGAGAGGCTCCAGCTGCAACACAGAGCGGATCGTTACACGCAACAAGGAGCCAGACACCAACGGTGACGTCGTCAATCAACTTCGTATAAATTTTTGTTGAACTTTACAATGCTGCTCCGAGACAGTTCGCAGAAACCAATTCAAAAGTCGCGTATTAAAAAAAAAACGCTCTTCTTTCTGTCAAATAAACACAAATTCCAACACATGGAAAACGGGCAACTCACTCACCAGTTCAAATATTACATGTGTACATGTGACTGTGAAATATATATATATTTTTTATTTAAATATTTTAGCCACTCCCTCCTTCCAACACCCCTCCACCCACCCAAATGAAAATGACTCCCTATTTTGGAGTGAGATGGGTATTATACCCACGTACAATATCATGTATTTTCATACAGCATCAAAATATAATAATATCTAAAACATTCCACAAGTTGGATCCCTTATGGCGCTAAAGATCTTTATTAAAAAGGACAAACGTCTTATATTCGTGCGGCCCTCTACAAATACAAGTTTTCCCAACAGAACGTAGTCCGCCAGGATTCAGAACCATAAAATGGCATAAATGATTACCGCGTCCTAAAAGGCCCTCGCTTTGCTCAATCGGTCCTGGACATGCATGCGTCTGTCACGTGGGATTACTGCTCTGTTTTCCCCTCTGTTTTTTTTCCAGACATATAGGAACAGGCCTCCACCTCCCCAACCCCCACCCCACAACCCCCCCCCCCCCCCCACAAAGCCCCCCTCCCCTCAAGCCTCCACCCTCCCCGCCCAAGCTTTGGTCAATATGACAGCAACCAAGACACGCGCATGCCTCCATCAACGCACAATCACCGTTTCTAACTCCACGTGCCAAAACAGGGTGTTTAGAACATAGGCAGCTCAATCAACGCTAATGAGAAAGCGTGCAGCCTCCCCTGTGGGCGCTACTATGCCAGCTGATACACCTCAGAAAGAAAATTAGGTAAGACATTCCAAACACTGGGGTGAGGCAGGGGGGGGGGGGATTCATGCAGCCTATGAGAGAGGACGTAATGTTGGCCACTTGAAAAGTACTCTGAATACATGAAGTGTGTGCCTGTGTCTGTGTTTGTGAAAATTATGAGCAGCGGTAGTGCAGTGGTGAGTGCACTTCGCTTCGAACCCAGCTAGCCCGAGTTTGATTCCTGCTCACGACCAAAAACATTGATGAATATTTAAACTGGCTCTGGGCCTCACCTAGGTCGACTCAGCCTTAAATAAGTGCCTGCTGCGGTTTGCAAACATCAGCACTGTGGTGTTGGCCACCCACCCCATCGTGTGCCATGCCTGCCTTAATAGATGCACTCTAACAGCACCTACCCTAATAGCATTACAGGCTATATGGAGGATCTTTGCGTAAAAATGTGTACTGTACAATGGAATAAATTAACACAAGCAAAGTCACAATGGGTCAGTTTTTGGGGAAAACAAGCTGTCAGCATAGAGCTGAGAACGCACGCATTTGCACGCTTTCGTGAGCGTGACGGAAAGCAATTAACAGAACATCAATTACTTCAGAATTTACTTTGCGAGTGCAAATTTGCAATGCGGCCCTCATACGGTCATCCAAATTCCTGTGCATTAAAAAAAAAAACCCTTGAAAATTCCCCAAAGTGTTAAACGAGGACGCAAAAACGCGTAACCTGGGTAAAGTAACAGAAAAATAACCAACCCATGACATGCGAATTAAAATTAAAGTCGCTATCCAATAGCCGTCAGAGGAGACGCCCCCGAGGCAACCTCGGAAATTCAGGGAAATGAGGGCAGGACCTGGGAACTGTACAAAGAATTCCCGACAGCACAATTGGCAATGCCATTGCAAAAAAAAAAAAATTCCAATGCAAACATTATAAAGGTAGGGGGGTGTTGTGCAGTTCAGTGCAAAAAGTGCACTTTTAAGGCGGCCCCGAAATTTATTTTGCGTTTTCAATGAAAACGGGGCATCAAGCATGCGTGCGAATTACACTCCCAATTCATATTTTTCACTCTGATCCGAAGGCTGCAAAGGAATAAATCCATCTGCTTCTGTTTTGGAATATGCTGACATATCTTTGAGACGGGAAAAAAAATGCTATTTGTTTAAAGTGGTCTGTCAGTTTCCATGTGTGCAGACTTTTTGTTTAATTCAATCAACTAAGCGCAGAATTACCTGTACTACTTGAGCAGGTGCAAAAACAGGCGACTGAAATTAATCTAATTTAATTCAGGATTCTGCTGGAACTGTTCCAACATAAACATCCAACATGAAACATGGCATAAGACTAACATATAGTGCACAAAACATGCAAGTATAATGTGCAAATACTCACGGAACTATTTGCCCCACACGTATGGGTACGAAAAAAGTGACTGAATAAGTCAATGATTGAGCAGGTGAACATGGGCATACTGTTTGACTGTGCATGTGCGCTTGTCCCTGAACGCGTTGATGTGCATGTTGTCCGTCGTGTGTTCACTTTCCCAAACGATCTGATAAAGTGGAGAGAATCTGCAGTGGGGGCATGGAGATCATCATTTCCTGACAATCTACTCTCCCACAAGGCATGCAGACAGTGACACTGAGTTAAATGCTTCCTTCCCCTGTAGGCAAAGTGGTCCTGTGTGAACTGAATGGAGAATGGCTCGAGGCCTTGGGAAACTGAACAAGACCACAACAATGACATCAGCAAGACAATCCATCGCATCTCCTGTGCACAGCCTTTGTGCTCCTCAGCTAAATGGAGACTTAAATAACCACAATCCCAAGTGTTACTACCGTTATGGAGCAAAAACCTTATCTTCTATGCTTCGTGCAAAAAAATAGTTCAAACACTGATACACGACATGTTTTTCACTTTTACCACAGACACGTCAATCCACTGCTGGATGAAGGCCTCATGCCATAACGGTCATGGAGGTTGTTTGACCATACTTCACCACACTGGTCAATATTGGTTTATAAGGGAGGAAACCCCAAAACTGGTTCAGATATCTGTGGCTGATGTTAGCTATGGCCTTGAATCGAACTCAGTGCGCTAACCACTGTGCCACTATTCCACCATGTGATTTGTAATTCACTGATTATAACTTGTGTTTTTTTTCCGTAATGTATTCGTGAAGCATCATTTTATGCACAGTGCATTGTTTCCACCTCTTGGATTCTCAATGGCGTTAGAAAGCAGCGTGCTGAGTTGCAAGGAGATTAATCTGGCGAAGACTGCCAGTGGCTACCGGTTTGCACGTGGGCGACAATTGATGACGAAACATTTCACATATCAACAAAGCATAAGACGGCGTGCATTTTGCCCATTTTGTAGAACTCCCCCGAGACCCGGGTTTTCACTGACATCCTTGGTAACACAATATCTGCACAGAGGCTCCCACACAACATCATGTGGGGTCGGGGGTCGGGAGCTTTTCAAGTTTGCTGCGGCACAGCGATCAGCGCTGCTCCCTGGTAGCCAATTTCCTTGAAATCCTGCGGCTATTTGTTTATAAAATGTGCAAACATCAGTCATTCAAATATATTCAGCAGAGGCTCGCTTGATCATGTGCAAATACTGTTTGCAAACATCGGCCAGATTGCACATTTTTAGTTTGTGAAACATTCTAAAATGAAGGCTACGGGATTAGGCGCTTAGGAATAAAGGTGCAGCCCTGCAATTGCTTGCTCACACCACTTCTGCCGGAAGGACCTCCACTAGAGGGAGTTCTGGAGAGCCCCTCTGTTAAGTATTGTCCTACTCTTACACGCTGTCCAGATGTCTTGGAAAAAGCAATACAGGTTTGTTATGTAATATCAGCTGCTGATCCACAGGTGGAATTCGTTTTCTTTAAATAGCCCTCATTATAACCAATTTCATATATGTGTCATTGAACGGCCACCATATCTTGGGACAGGCTGAAATAAATTACATATTTTGCTAAAATGTGCGGCAGTTAATGAACGCTGCACATTCACCAAAATTGGTAATAGGTGATTTGTGAATGGGAAGTGTGGAACTTAATTTAGATAAGCATTCACTCACACAATAAACACAGCACCAAGTTCCAGATGTGAACCAACACAGGGAAATTAAAAAAAGATTGAGTTAAAATAAAATAGCAATATTGAGACATGCCCCAAAAAACTAACACTGCACAACTCTGATGAAATCAGATGTTATCTCTTCAAATGAGGGTACATTTTCAAAGACAGGCCCTGACTGAGTGTCTTTTTTAAAACATTGTGGTAACAGTGTAAGAAGATAGTAATGTATTGAAGACAGTGCCAAGAAAAGCAGGAGAGGACAGTAGGGTGACCATAAACAAACACCATGAATCCTGGCACGTTAACCCCTGAGTTCAACAGGTTCACACATTATTATTATGCACGGCTACGGCCATTGATCAAGTATCTTGTCTTCTTCTGCGTGTGATACATGGAGGTCAGCGGTTACGCAAAAAAGTGCACACGAGTCAATCTCACGGAATTGTCCGAGGATATTTATAGCACGCGTGGCTGCGTAGGCGCGTGGCCACTCGGCTTGTGAGGGTCAGGACTCTGGCTGCAGGGGTTTCCAAGCCCCTCGCAGAGAGGAACAGATTAGCCTTTGTGCGCGGGGACTTGTGGAAATATTTACCAGGAAATGGATAATAACATTGTCCGGAGGTTTTGATTGACGGCCTGTTTATATAGACCCTGCTGGAGTGACACGCTTGCCAGCCTGATTATGGTTAATATGGGACCTTTTTTTCTCTTCGGCATTTTTGGCAAAAGGCTAGTTAGTTATGCATTCATCTTGAAGGCATATGAGTTTGGCCAAAAGTTTAGCAAGATTGCTGTTGCGGGACTTGCTCCAATCACTTACTACTTTCCATATTAGGGTCACCAAGGGCAACATTAACAGCTAATTGAGAGAGCCCCCTTGCAAGGTGCTGTAAAGTGGTCGCTTGCATTTAAATATTACGCTAAGCAACAAAGAACCGCTTTAATACCAAATAGGTCCCCGAAGTCTCATTTTAAGTGCACACATTCCCATTTGTTCTATACGTTATGTATTTTTGTTAAAAGTAATTCAAATCAGAACGGTTTCTTTCTGCATGAGCACGAGTTCACATTTTACACGAAAGTTTCAGTCACTGCGCCTTAGCAGAATTCCAAAAAATTTTTACAACTGTAATTTAATCAAGGCACTTCATGAAACGTTGACATTAAATGTAATTTGGTTACCCTAATATACAAAGATTACCATTGGTGTTTATACGCTATATCGTAAACGAGAAAACGGTTTCTGGAATAAGACATTTTGTGAAGCGATAATGAGAATGCGTGGTTTGTAATAAGCTAACACAAGGAAAACCAGCCGCCCAGCTACAGTAATATGGGTCTGTCATAGGGGGTGGATCATTGCATTGCAGAAACAAAATGGTCCAGCAAAAGCAATGCTAGTAGAAGGCAAGAGGTAGGGAGCGAGCAAGACAACGATGGACTACTGGAGTGGAAGAGGTACTCGATTTTTTGACCAGGTAAGGCCCTCTGAGCTATATAGCTCTTTTTCAGAAGTGACCTGGCCAGAATTGATAGCTCAACGAAGTGGCTTATCGTGTGGAAATGTATCGCAGCCAAATACTCTAAAAGCGTGTTTCTAAATGTGGAGGGAAAAACCGGAGGACCTGGAGATAAATCCACGTGACCTCGGGGAGAGAGACACGCAAACTCCAAATATACAGGCGTCAGGGTCAGGTGCCACCTCAAGTGAGGTAGCTACTAACATCTCTCCATGACAAGCATCAGCAATAGTTGGAACATGATGACTGTCGCCAGTAGTGGAGGACTACTACCGGAAGTTTGTGGAGAGTCAGCAGCCTCCATAAGAGGGGCTGGACAGGAAGAAGACAGGTGGGGCGTTGGATCGCATCGGTGGCGGTGGCGGCAGCCTCACCTCATTGCCGAGCAGGGCCGAGATGCAGGACTCGGAGCCGTCACAGATAGCCGCCAGGTCATGGCCACCCTCGAGGGCCATTACCACGCGACCGCCCGCCAGCCCCATCAGCTGCCGCGTCAAGTGGCCAAAACCTGCATGGAGGCACCGAAGCTGTGAGAAACGGCGGGGCGCAGGGCCGACCCAAGGGTCGTGTTGAGTAAGAGTGCCCCTCGTTGCTCTGCTCAATTGAGCAATGGGACAGTTCTAATCTCCACCGGTGGCCTTGGGCCAATGTTGGAAAATCTGCATTCCCATGGCAGAAGCCAGTCTCCGTATCCGATTATACACTACGATTTACATTTATATAGCGTCTAAGTGCAACAGCGTCTCCAGACGTTTCGAACATGTATGTTGAACCTTTTTCGCGCCGTACGTAGCCAACTGTGCTAGTCGGAGGTGTTTGGAAAGGACAGTAAACTAAACACAAAAAGCTTTAGAGAGTCAAAATAAAATAGCCGTATGGACATGAAAATAAATAGGTCTTAGGTATTGACTTGAACAAGGGCATATTAATACTTTGTCTCTCTCAGTGGTGCAAATTTTACCAACCAGAAAGGGATGATATTTAACTCGAAACCTTAAAAATGTCAAGATCTTTCACCACAGCACCGCTCAGCTAGATAATGGAACCAAGGTTATGGCCGACAAATGAGATGTGGTGGTCGGGAGTGGCAGCTGCATTGCCACAATCCTTTAACATCATAACTGGTGCCCGCAGCGACCACAAACTCACCTCCCCTGGACACCTCAAATCCCTACACACTGCACATTTGTAACTGTTGAATGGATAACAGAATTAAAATTCCATGAGGCAATGTGGATATATGAATGCGTACTATGTATATTCAAGTATGATCATATGAGTAAAGTACTCATACTTGTAAATTCAAGCACACACACATTATAAGAATATGGTTTTTCCCCTTTTTTCTGGCAACAAAATTGAAGCCTTTTTACAAGGATTCATGTCTGCATTAACCACAATACCTGGTCAAAATGCAAACAAAAAACATACTATGATAATAAATGCATTGTTCTTGAAACTGATTGGTCCACACCAAGGGACGGCTTTCTTTTGAGCCTCGACCCAATTGGTGCTCGACAAGATGACGCTAAAAGGCATACTAGGTATTGTGATTAATGCAGACATGAATCCTTGTAAAAAGGTTTCAGTTTTGTTGCCAGAACAAAAAAGGGAAGAAAAAAACCCTATTATATTTTGGTACTGGCAAAGGAGGTCTAATGATGTAGACACACACACATTGTCACACTCTGACGATTTGTGTATTGGATATACTGTCTATTTAATCTGTGGCGACGACGTTAGCATCAGTTTCTGTATGCATTCGACGCAAAATTGCATGTGTTTCTATGTTTACAGTTTTGAAGGCACAATAAAGCCTATTTAGCCTATTATTCCACACTCACCACAGTGGATTCGACAATGCAGATAAAATACACACTCGCTCAACCCTGCGTTATCCAGACCACTGACTTGCAGTGGCTATTAAATTCCTCGGGTGACACATGCCCACCTCCTCCAGTGGCTGCACGCAGGATTGATGTTGTAACTATGATTAGTTATGTCTGCTATAATGGGGTGTACATGGGTGCCAATTAGGATTGCTTAGGTGAATTCAAGAACAAAATATCCCATTAGATCCTCCCACCCCTGGCAAAATAATGGTTGTGTGTGTACAGAGGATTGTATTGATAATCGATTGTAATAATTTGTACATGAAAGGCATTTTATTACATTTTGATTATAGTAAATAATAATGCATTTATAAGTTGTGTGAAAAGGTTGATGTCAATTATATGGCTCTTTATAGAACTAGAGTGAGCAGGAAAAACACACAGCTTGTATTTTAAATTTGTTCAATCATAAAATCCTTAAGAGTGAAATGACAAAATAAATGTATTCAAGCGTGAACTCAGTAATTGGTCTTAGCAGATGTCACACTGTTTGAGAAATATTAACTTATTTGGGTTGGTCATGTTTCTAGAATGGCAAATAGAAGGATCCCCAAGGTCACATTAGTCAGCGAGCCAAAATGCTAAAGAAAACAGCAGACCACAGTGTTTATGATATAAGATGTGTTAGGTGCATTGGAAAAAAAAAACGATATTTGTCTTGGCGTGATCTTGCAAAAAATAACTTCAATTATAAACAACGAATGTCACTTGTGTCAATGATGATAATGCTGTTGATCGTTAAATTAAATTCCATTAAAGCGAGTTTTGTACTCATTTTTATAGCACTGACTGTTCTTACACCAAATTATACAATGTTGCTATATAAGGATTTGAGTAGTATAATTCAGGATTTCAAATATTGAGGTTCCACTGTGGTTGAGTTTGAATCAATTAGTGGTCACTGAGTCAACCAGGTTTTTTTTTATCAGGAAGTCATGGGAAGATACGTCTCAAGACAAACACACAAACCCGACAAATGGTGAACACAAACACAAGCAGCCACAAACACGAGCCACAATTATTTCCAGAAACCTCACGTAAAAAATAAAACATGAGGGGGCAATCACTCCAAAAAAAATTCCCTCCCACACACACCTACAAGCCACCGGCTTTAAATTAAATGATATAAATAAGATAATTTGGGCCGTTTTTTATCAATGGAATGTTCATCTACTTTGTCGGGACTTAACATTCAACGTGACATATATATCACCAAAACGTCCTTTGCGCTAGAGAACAAATTATTTGTTATCGGTGTTCTCGTGTTGTCATGTGTTTATTGAAGCTGGAGAATTAAACGCAAATACAACTGGGTTGAAATTCTAAATAACTCCCGAGAACATAACCAGATAAATGACCGGGGGGATAAATACTATAGTTTTACTGTAAACATTGTTTTTCTGAAAATAATCTAGAAGCCAACACCAAAAAAGGAAGTATTTTTATTTTATTCATGTGCACCGTTATTGAGTTAAATCTAGCTTGCTTGCTTGCTCTTTTAAGTATTTTTAAGTTTTCGGTGTGTACACACATTCCATGGCTGGGGACCTTGGCAGCGATTCGCCAATCCCCAGAAGGTTTCCACTTGAAAAGAGGCCGGCTTCGCAGTGCGTGTGCAGTGAGGAAACGCCGCTACCCCAAACCAGATGCTCCCCACTGTTAGCGAAGGGGGCCCTCAAACAAACTCACACGGGCGCTGTAATCAAACGCAGCCCGAATTCGTGCGCTCGGAACACTTTGAGGAAAGGCTCTGACATGACACCTGATGAGATGGGGGTTTTGGGCGTATGGGCCTGTAAGCATTCGTGGTGGTGGGGAGGGGGAGGGGAGTGGGGGGGGGGGAGGAGGTGAACGTCAAGCGAGTGGGTGGTGTGGTTTTGTGAAGATCTCAAACCACACAGGCTTTTTTTTCACCCAACCGCAATTCACGTCAGCTCTCACAGGTGGATATTAAAGCAGCTCGTCAGTCTATAATCCATTCTCCCTTCATCCTAACGCTGCACATGCATTTAATTTACCCATCCAACGGTGTGCACTTTCATCACGGAGTACACGCTATGCGAAAACAACACAATTCTTCGCGATCGTTGCTGTACGTCCAAAAGATGAAAATGCATTTAATATGCGAGCGTAGCAGCCATTCTCATATGACATAAACTGATTTACTACTTCCATTCATACAACTTCATCATCATCATCATCACCGCCATCATCTACTTTATATGCTTTATACATTGAAGGCATTTCCATATTCATTCCATTGTCTGTGTTCATCTACAGCTGCAATCCATCTCGGCCCAACGCGAGTTTCTTATATGTGCACATTATGTACAAAAAGTACCACACTCTATCACGTAAATTGGTTACAATGGGACAAATGCATAATATTAAAGGCAAACACGTATACATTACTGCGTTGATGTATGGGCCGGTAAAGATTCCATAGAAATAATGTGTCTTGAGTGGGAATTGCCTTACACTTTGCTGAAACCTTGTATCCCCCAAGAGGTGGTGGATGCCCCTCTGCCGCATCAAAACCTGACGAGACCAGCACCACGTCTGGAGAGAACTCGTTGGCAATCGGTAGCACCACCGTCCTGGTGAACACAAAAACACACAAAATCAGAAAACACAGCCGTGTCATGATTTGGGTACAAACACCTGTTGGGATGAGAAAGGGCAGTCGTAAAAAGGCTATTGCTGATGGACTTATGATGCATTGTTAAGTTCGGGTATGTGGTTGGTTTTTTTATAGGACACTAATTTAATGAAAAAAATTGTTTTAAATAAATAACTAATGTAAAAAAAAAATGTTTGGATGGCATATATCCAATTTAGTTATCCTAAATGTGTGGTGTAATGTTTTTAGATTTTAGTATTTGTGGTCCGTATTCACCGTGGGCATGTCATATACAGTACAGCATATAAAATAGAAAAAAATCTTCAGAAATGCCCCCAGTACATTTTATTACAAACAGACGTGGCTTACATGTCATCCTAAATTTGGTGAAATTTATTGCTCTTCTGTTCTCAAAACGATACTTAAACAATAAAACACATACATTTATTAGCAACAACAAAAAGGTCAGAATGATTTCCTGCTCAAATAAGCATTTTGAGGTATTGGTGGGAATTCTACATTCCTATGGTGTGGATGAGTCTTTCCATAGGACAACTACTGTATGAACACGACAAAAATGGAGGGAATATATATTTACATACATCACGCTGGCAATAATGAATGCAAATTATGTAAAGTTTCCACAACACATGGTGTGATGCAAACAATCACATTTTTGTTAGCTTTCAGAATAATAATTAAAGAGTATTTGGCTGCGATAAATTTCCACGTGTTAAGCCACTTGGTTGAGATTTGTGGCCAGGTTGCTTCTGAAAAATAGCTATCTAGCTAATTTCGGAAGGAACAAGTGAAGCAGCAGGAAGTCTACATATCTTTATATATCTGTGTGTATATATATAATTTGCAAGCGTCCGTTTATCTGTCACGCTCTGGATCTCCCAAACCAGTACGTGTGAAGAGAAATACTGTACATACAATTGTGTAAAAAGGAGGGGAAAGGGCGAGAGGGATACATGTGTGATTTCCCCAGTAATTTATTCCCATTCCACAGTGCTGCATGCTGAATATGTACCGCAGTGTATTTAAACCATTTTGCATTGCTTTTGTAGACTATGAAAAGGTGCTCTAATTGATTCTGTGGAAATAAGGAATGGGATTAATCCATCACGGCTCGAGCTTCCGAATCCAAAACCGAATTCCAATATTTATTGCTTTTAAAGAAACAATAAACTAATCATGATGTGCATCAAATTTTTAAGTTCGGAAAATGCTACAAACAGTAAGTAGCAATACACAGGAACTGAATTGCATCTGCTCTAACCTTAGGAGTGGGCATTGTATGTCTCAGATACAATGTGCCCCTTATGTTTGAGGGTGGGAATGTAATCAGCATCCTGGGACCCAAGGAGGTTGCACTCACCACTCTCACACCACAGTAGCTCTTTTAACTTTCACGCCGAGATAATGTCACACAATGGTAACTGTTCTTCATTTTACTGGTGAGCTCAAACAATGATTGTTGTGCGTAAAACACTTGTGCGTGTGGCGATTCATTTGTTTGGTTACATCATGTGTTGTTGGGGTTTGTAATGACCCAGAATTGATCATTACATGGCCTGGCCCAAAAATCCCATTAGAAATCATAATATTGGCTGCAAAAAGCTAACTGCCAATGTCGAGGTCTGCAAGCCACGAGAGGGCTTCAGGAGAGACTTCAAGTAGTTTTGCCGTTCCTCAATTGAAGGAGTGCAGGCTACAGTGGTTTGCTATTTGGTCCATAGTTTGGATTGCATGTGTGTATGTATGCATGTTGAGCTTCTTTCGCACTGTTCGTAGCCAAACCGCGCTAATCACAGGTGCGGGGAAAAAATGACCAAAGTCATACCGAGGCTTGTACATTAAACACAATGTAAGCTATTCTCGTGTATTCAAATGCGTACTATATATGACATAACGCGATTCCTTGAGCATTTAAAATGCGTTATCCACTATATCCACTGCTCCAGTACATTTTCAAATATAGTACGCAATACAAAATGCTATTCTAGTATATTTCAAATATATTTTTCACAACGTAAGCTATTCCAGTGCATTTCAAAAGTGTATTAAATGCTTTGATGTGGCTGTAAGTACTGCCTGCCATGCGTTCACACGTGCACACTGTGCTGCCAACAAGCACCGACTGCATATTTTCAGTTTCTGATTCAACACACAGACTTGGATTTGTTGAAACTCGAAAAAACGTGCCAAAATGCCGAATCGAAATTTTGTATCCATATTTATACGTGCCCCAATTCCTAGTGGAAAGTGACGTGGCCAGCTGAATGCATACACACCATATCCTTCATAAAAATATACATAAATCATAAAAAAACATTTATTTATAAAGACAGAACAGATGCATTGAGATTTCACAAATCAGAAGAGCAGTCAGGAAAGACGATACATTCCCACTAAGGCTAGGCAGAGTGACACTAGAATATATTTTCTGTAAATTACATTAGAGCAATATAAACACGAGTAAAACAAATGCAAAGTGCAACAAGTTCATTGAACAAAGATGTAAACAAATGTTGGAGGGATAGAACTTAGATCAGAAACGTGAACTCTAACAAAGAACACAAATGTGCATGCATGGAATTACACATTGATACAGAAAGATGAACACATGCATTGTGGGTAAAAAAACGCAGATTATATACATCCACAGTGACTGTTCGGGAAAGCAAGTCCACACATTGATAGAAGGGAAGATGACTGATGGACGACACTGGTTATGGAATGGCAGCCAAAGAACAGAACATGCCCAAGAAAACAACCACCACCACCGAGGTGGAATGATAAGATCAGCTCATGCGCAGGAGCGATATGGGTGACGCACTGTGGGATCACGAGGGATGGTGGCGACATGGGGAGGTCTTCATCCAGTGGATAGATAATGTCTGATGGTGATAGTGATGATGATGATACACAGTAAAGCTGTTTATTCAGATCAATTTAAACTATCACGTACTAACAAACATTTTTTGGGAAAAGCGATATACTACACAGTACACACGTGTTTAAAAAAAAAATTCTGAAATGTGCAGACTAACACATATCAAGTTATTCTTGAATACAGTAACTCCTAACATTGACCCACTTATTCCATCACGTGATTACAAACATACGACACAGAAAATAAACTGTCACTTGTCATCTTCCTCACATGCGTTTGCTGTACCCCTCTTGTCATATATTCGTATATTTCATATGTATATGCTGTATTAGCAGCTGTGAGATGGGTACAGGCATGCGGGGAATGGAAGTTGTTTTAAAGTTGGAAGCTTTTTTGTCTGTCTTGACCACAATACTGGCAGAACTCTTAAAACCGCAGGCTCTGACCTCAGATAATGTCAGCATTTGGTCTCCTGAGTCTAAAAAACATCCCCTACCACAACAGCCCCAGGCAGGCTTATTGCCCCCGGAATAAAAAAAAACAACTCTTTAATATTTTTATTATTTCTGTTACTATTATTTGTCATAATTATTTATCTTAACATTGTTTCTAGTATAAACCAAGATGAATTGCAATTAGAGCACTCAAAATACTATACATTTCAATTTAACCGCTACCGGTACCAGTCAATTTTTAGGTTAAGTCACGCAGACAAGTCATATGTGATAATCATCTGAAAATGTTCTTAATATGAGTTTGATTGAGATAATTGTGGATTCCCAAACTCCGATGCCCTCTGGGTCTCATTAAATATAATTGCCGAAAACTTCCAGACAAATTAATTAACCGAAATTTTCCAGTGAGAAGCTAACATCTCATCATGTGACAATGTGGAAAGCAGTTCTCTAGGACCACTTGCCAGCAGTAAACACTGAATTATTAAAGTAATAGGGCAAAATGTTGTGTTACTTTTATACAATTCATATTGCTCACTGGTCGGGAGAATGGTGAACTGCATGCGACATTATGAGACCTCACTTGCCAGTAACAAGATATAGTAATAGGTTTTACCCTTTTAACTGGCACACAAACTGACACCTTTATTCTAGGCATCATGTTTGCAATAACCACAACACAAGCAGTCAAAATGCAAACATAATGTAAATGCTCACCCCGAGCCCTCGAATACTCTGATAGTGCGCTGTTTTTGAGTTGTACGCCTTTTGGCGTCTTCTGGTCCAACACCAGTGGAGACTAGGCTCTAAGAAAAGCCGTCTCGGGTGTGGACCAATCAAATTCAAGGACAGTGCATATTATTATCAGAGTTGTCTCTTTTGTTTGCATTTTGACTGCTTGTGTTGTGGTTATTGCAAACATGATGCCTTGAATAAAGGTGTCAGTTTTTGTGCCAGTTAAAAGGGTAAAACCTATTACTATGCATGCGACATTACAAGTAGGAAGCCATGCAACTCCTGGATTTTAAACTATTTCTTGTTCCCTAATGACATCTATTTAATAACATGACCGTGTCAATTCAGTTTGTGTAGACCTCATTAATTTGAACTTACTGGATTTTTATTCAACGCTACTGTACTTATATTCTCAAAACGACTTGGCATGTATATTTTTCAAAGAATCACAAGGTATAACAGGTATGCTTTCGCGACTAATATTCATAATAAAGGTTTTTGCGTCAGATCGCGTAAGTACAAATGTGTCCTAACTCTCCACCACCCGACGCAGTAAGGTTTGTCACGTAAACAAAAAGTGCCTATTAGTTACTACTTCAGCCCACCGGTGTGTTGGAGAGTGAATCCACAACATTTACAATGTACTGGCTGTGTCGGGTGGTGGAGGGTTACGACACATTCATACTTATGCGATCTAACCTAAAAACCTTTATTATGAATAATACAAGGTATATTTTGCGTCATATTAATACTTTGGAGGAATAAAAATCTTCCCTGCTTTCCATCAAATTATTTTGAGCAAGCCTGTCTTTTAAAATTCCAAAATATTAATGTAGGCTTGCGGTGGGAAATTTCATAAGCCCCAAGCTTTTTGTTTCCAAATGAAATCGTAATAACGGTTATAAAGCATTTCATCTTGCAACTATGAATATTTTTTTCTCTCTAATCGATGAAGCCAGACACGGGTGCCGAGCATTTACAACATTTCAGATTCAAAAATAAATTCGGCGCATGCCCAGAGCGAGCGCGGCGCTTTATACGCATCGCTGCGCGCCACTGTACAGCATCAAGAACGCACATAAAGCATTCCCACGCACGGCGAGATGAATGATGGGGGTGAGGCGGAGCGATGGCAAACCTGGCACATTAAAACCCCAGGCGGCCCCAGCGCATTCGGGCCCAGCGAGGCTACACTGATCAGAGACGAGAGGGGGGGGGGGTCGCACATCAAACGGGGAGCGCTTTGCCTGCACAACAGCCGTGGTGCAGGCCCTGCCTGCGACCGTCTGCTTCCAATTACCTCGCTCAACCCGGCGCGCGCGAGCGAGCGAGCGAGGGAGCGAGCCCGCGTGTGCCGCCGCCACTTCCAAAGCCCCTCGCAGGAAAGCACTCGGGGCTCTCTTGGCTTTCATTACGGCCAATTACCTTATCTTTTTTTCATCTCCACAGTATCCCCAGCAGAGCTTCAAGTTGGTTCGCTTGCTCCACGGCTAAGCGCTGCTCTTTTGCCCGAGGCCTTAGTGCTGCAAGTGCCCACCACCACCCCCCTACTGCATGCCCTGATATTCCACATTATTCTTAACCCCCATTCCTTCCCCCCACAAACTGGCTTAGTTGTTTTTGTTTGCCTTGATCTAAAATCGAACCCTTTGTACCGCTATGTGGGTGTATTACGCAGGGAGAGCATAGAGGGAAATAATCCGGTTTAATCAAGCACTGAAGCAGACAGAAACTGTGTCACTGTGTTAATGTGACAAGGGTTGCCTTGCGTGATTGTTTATTTTCGAACGGTCTAAATGCCACTGAGGAGATGATTACCACTGAGGAGACGATTACCAATATTACACACGTGCTTTAATTATTAGACCTTTATGTGACCAAATGTTGTTGAGGTAAGATCAGTGATAAAATCAACGGAATGATCGATGTGAGTCACACCAAGAGTGAGAAAACGTCGAGCAATGATTCGGAATACATCTAAAGAACTCAACTTTTGTAAAGGGACTTCAGTTTGGTCCACTGAATATCTGTAATTGGCTAGAGTTGTTTGCCTGTACACCGGCAACATTCAAAAACTTTTCAAAAAGTAGAACAAAAGTGTTGCACAAAAATAATGGTAGGCTTATTTTGAAGGCAAATAATTGTGTAATACCATAATCATTATAATATAATGAGTGCTTTCACATTTGGGGTCAGGTTAAATGAAAGGCAATCACAGTGAGTCTCTGTGTAAATTCATATCCTGTTTTAAAAATGACTTAAATGCCCTGAAGCAAATATGCTGCATAAAAATGACATTATATTCCTCTGTTAATTGTTCATAGACAAATACACTCTATTTACAGTATTTAGACTTTAAGAGCAAGGTCTACTCATGAAAACGTATTAAAACAGGGGGCAGCATAGGTGAACAGCACCATGTTCTACCGTATACACGTTGGCAACTGTTAGTAAATTACTACGGAGTTAACCTAGGGGAGGCCCAGAACAGGTTAAGATACCACTTGCTAATCAATGTGCATGTGGAAACAAAATTAGACCTGATTTACAGGGATCGTAGCACAGTTTGCTCAACAATAAACTTTCTTGTAGTAGTAACACACACACACAACTTCGCTGATCACCCGTGTGTGTGCGAGTTTATGATGGGCAGGAGAATACAGGGGGAGCGGTAGTGTAGTGGTTAGCGTGCTGCACTACAAACCCGGCGATCTGAGTTCGATTCCCACTTATGGCTACCAACACCAGCGACGATTATCTGAACAGGTCCTGGACCTCCCCTAGGTCGACTCAGCCTCAAATGAGTACCCGGTGCGGTGTGTAAAAACATCGCCACTGGGGAGACAAAAGCGGCCGGGCGTCGTGTTGGCCACCCACCCCCTAGTGAGCCGTGCCGACCTTCATAGGTGCTCACTAACAGCACTTGTCCAACGGTCTGTTGAGGCTATACGGGGGATTTTTGTATTTATGATGAGCAGCAGAATAAGGGGGGGGGGAGAACGGCTGTAAAAAATATTTTGGGATCCCCCCCCCCTCCTCTTTCAGTATTTAACTTCTCGTGAAAAGACAGAAGTGACACGGACAAGAGAGAGAGAGCGAGATATTCTTTGGGTCTTTCTGTAAAGTCACTGTCGATCACGCACACATTCTCTGAAACGTACACAGTTAAAGCACACTGTATAAAGAGATGAGAGATAGAGATGAGACAAGAGATGTCGTGATTTTCGATGCACCACTATGTTTTGTCCTCTATCTGGGACCCCTCGAGGCAAGTGTAGTAAGCGTGCGTACTAAGCTTTTGCTGAGTACACTTGTGCCTAGCACCACAACTGGCTGTACCTGAAGGCTGCGAGGTACTCAGCATCCCCCATGGGAGGGTCCAGCCCTCCTGTCCAGGCGATGTTCACATTGAAGCCGATGCCAGCCCCTGTGCCAACCTGTGCGCACGCGCAGCAAGAGACAACAAGCACGGTGGATTTCAGTCAAGTGTTGCAGGTGCATCGCGCGTGCACACACACACACAGGGTATCTACTTGAAGCTAGACCAAAAAAATGCGCAGCTGTAATTGCGCAAATCGCATGCGATGCTATAGAACACACATGCTTACACGAGCAAAAGCATTTCATCAGATATAGTGACTTTGGGTTTTTTTTTTGTGCAAGGTGATCAAAATACCAACGAGTGTTTTGTTGTTTTAGTTCTGTTGGATGTTGTTTTTGGCAGAGCATTACAAAGTGTTATTATCCTGTTCGATCTGAATTAAATACACAATGGTCATCACGTACACACACTCACACGTGCATAGTTAAAGTAAAATTTCACGAAGAAAAAAGGCATAACCCACAATAAAATATAATCGGATATAAAAGCAATGCGAAAAAAACAAGTATTTTTCTTTGTAAATATATATATTTTTTCACGTAATATATTTAAAGTGCTAAGAATTTGCCATTTCCCACAATATGGTTCCATGTTTCCAAAACAAGTTTTTAAGACCCTTTCATCCACAATTTCACGCAATAAAAGATAAAATTTTACGTTGGATTGGTAACATTGCAGGTCATTTCTACTTGTTTATTTAGCATTTTAGTCACCTGGAAATACATCACAGCATGTGCACGTAAGAACTAACCTAAGAATAACAATGTAGTGAAAGCACAGGAAGTGATTTTTCTTCTACTTTAAAATGAACAAATGTGTCAATTAGTATAATGTACTGGGCTACAAGACTAACTATGCTAGGCACAAATAGCTGGGCCTACTTGCTTGAATTAAAGTGTGTTGAGGGACCAATTTGTACTTTAACTGCTCAGTGAAGGAAGCTTTGTACTTGGATACTACTGATCCGGCTGTAGTTACTCCTAGGAATGATGCCACTAAGAACTGCTGAGATTGCTGCCGTGGCTGCTGTTGCATCTGCTGCTGCTACCTTCTGCTGCTGCTGCTGCTATTGCCGCTGCGGCTGCTGTTACTGCTGCTGCTGCGAATGCTGCCGCTTCCGCTGCTACTACAGATTTCGTTTTTACTGCTGCTGTCACTCATTGGCTGCTCTTGATGCGACCGACCTCCTCTGACGCCCCACTCCCCGGGAAGAAGTTCCCTCCGTCGTAGCGGTGCAGGGAGAGGTAGAGGATGGAGGCGTCGCCGTAGAACGCCTGCTGCGTCCCGTTGCCGTGGTGTACGTCCTGCAGGAGCCCACGGTCGCACGCGCTCAGAGACCCGTACCGCGCGCGTTGCGTCTCGGGCGACGTCTCACGAACCAACGCGCGCCGCGTGCCAACTAAAAGCACAGCGCGCTCCGTCCTGCTCACCCTTCTCTGCGTTACGTTTTGGTTGATCGTCTTCATCTTCTTCTTCGTCGTCGTCACTGTCGTCGCCGTCGTCATTTATTATTTTTCTTTTTTCGATCGTTGGATGGAAAAACAACAGTTTTTAAATGTGCTTTCTCTTTTATCTTTTTTTTCTGTTAAATGAACACGTTTGTCTATTGGTAGAGTGGACTAGGCCTACTTGCTCACATTCAAGTGGGCTGAGGGACCAGTTTTGTACTTTAACTGCCTCGCGACGTGTAGTTTTTGCATCCTGCCGTACGAAAGTCGAACGACAATTTATACTGCGCCTTCCAATGCACACACACAGGATGATCATGATTATTATTAAACGATTTCATAATCGGGATGCAATTGACTTGTTTGTGATATTGTATAACAATCCTTGTTGAAATCGTATCAACAACATTATAATGCAAGTATGTAGAGCAATAATGACCGGTTATGTGTGTTACATTAGAACAATGAAGTGGGGTGGACGCAGGTTGCGCAAATGCTCCAGCATTGCTCATGGTAAAAAAAGTGTAACGTTTAATAATGAATTAGTAATAGCCAATATCACAGTATTAAAACATATGGAAGAGTGAAAAAAAATGCCAAATTTTAAATAACTGAATTATTCTTTAAATATATAATTTTAATGTACAATTTAAAGTATACTTTGTTAAATTATTTGCAAGTAAGTCATAGTTTTTGGGAAAATGCATACATTTGAAAACACATTTTCCAATTCAACGATGCAAATGTTGACATGAAACAAAGTATTATGCTTATAGATGAAGAACATGCCTTTGGGCCATTATTGATAACATACATGACGAGTAGAGAATGGTGTGAATAGTGAAATGTGATGAACATGAAAATGTAATTGCATTTTTTAATCCAATATAATTGGGAGAGGGAGGGCGTTTGACGAGTTGAAAATTTAACAAAAAAAAACTGAACCAGAATAGGTTAAATGTAAATTTGCAACAGCTGTAAGCGTATACTTTTATTGCGAACATTTGGTCAATATATATTCTGTTTTTTTAATGCCATTTTTTGCCCTTTGCACTTACAATCACATCTGGGCTAAACTTAACATATGTTCATTCAGTGAAAGGACTTCTTTTTTTTATTACTGCACAGAGATTTCCTTTATTTTTGGGAGATTCACGGCATTGAGGAGTTGGTGGAAAATAATAAACCTGGGGTTTATTTCTTCTGTTCTATTCAGAATCTGAGACATTTTATGAGATGGCTTAAGAAGTGAAACATTCTTTAGCTAAGTTCTAAAGGTTTAACTTTAAACCTCATAAAACGTACCCAACAAAACATACAATCAATAAGCACTAAATATAGTGCTTATTGATTGTTTAAAAATGCTGAATTTTTAAACGGAAATACAATGTGTACGTTTAAATATTACTTTGCATTCACAGATTGTATTTTACATTTATATAAAATTAAAAATATGTTAAAACACGCATTGCTACATTTTGTTATTTGGGCATGTAAAATAATGAACAATATACACTCCAATTTTTTTTTACATATAAATAATTTTCCAATTCGTTGCTATTCAATTCTTTGGAATTAAACATAAAATGCAACGACTGATCTCTCAAAATTAACCATATATACTTAATATTACATAAAATGTTTCTACTTAAAAAGTACAAAGATACATATTATACAAAACCGAGTAGTGGTTTCAACTTCTTACCATTGAATTTAGTAATTTAGGCTTGCTCTATCAGTCCATGCCAGGCTCAATTTATAGGCTTACATATAAGCAGTGTAATTAAGTATGCCTGGGTATATTGACGAGGCAATAGCACAGTTGCACCATGAACACAAAATACCGGACAAAAATATATCACTAATCCCCTTCAAAATGGGAAATTTCTACACTGTACTTTCGAAGTGAATGTACGCCAAAATTAAGAATACATTCCTGTACGTCTGACAAGGTCAAAATTGTGACATCTATAAAAAATGATAGTCATAGCACGTGGTAAATTGGTCAGGGCCGAATAAGTGACGATCTGATACGTGATCTAGTACTGTACACCATTCGCAAAGCAAGTACATTTTCCCTGTTTTCTTTCTTTCTGTCAGACAGACTGGGCGAGTACTCTGCTGAGAGATGGTAGGGGTAGTGGGTACTTACCCAGTCGATGATGAGAATCTTCCTCACGTTGAACTTCTGCTGCAACAGCTTTGCCGCGATGGCCACGGAGTTAAAAAAACAAAAACCCCTGGAGAGAAGCATTACGCATCATCAGCAACATAGCAATGACTTAATTACTCGACAAAATAAAACTGATGCGTGCCACGTTGAACCCTAAAAAAATAACATGGTGTCTTTGTTCATGGCCATATACGGGTAGTACGTGCAACAGGAATCGGCAAGCTGATCGATGCTGAAATGCGGCATTAGTCCGCATGTGGACACACAAGGATCTTTCTCTCTTGATTTGGGGAAAAAGCTGTTTCCATTTAATCGTGCTCAAAATGGCAAGAAAGTGGCCCAATTGATGCACTTCGTCCTCATCTGTTAAGCATTCCCCGTTGCAAAAGGTCCCCCACTAATGTATTTTGACATCCCCTAATTTAATTGGGTACGATGTCTAATTCTTCCTCATGCCTTTAGTTATGGGTTGAAACCCTGGCATTGAATGTAATCTTTCAATTCCTTTCAAGTTAATCTGAGCCCCCCACACGTACAAGTAAAAGCATTGTGTTTGTAAGAAATGTCTTAAAATTAAATCGTAAAAGAAGATGAAGTTTGTATTTCACGTGAAATAATTTACAAAAACGTGAGTTTTCTTTGTACAATATTGAAAAATGATGTAACTCCCAAAGAATAAAAAATAGTGCATTTGTGTAAGAAAAGTTAAAACTTATTTTATAGACTTGCTTCCTTTATTTTAATAAGCGACTCAAACCCCAAAATTGGGTCGTTATAAATCTAAAAACTCAGGGCCTTCGTGAAGGGAACACAGCATCCCCCCTCCCCCACCGCAGCACAATTATTAATATAAAATGCATGTGGAAAATATCATGTTCATTTAATTGCTGGAGTAAAAGGGATGCGATGTAGAGAGAGAAAAAGATTTTAAAAAAAAATCCTGCGCGGTGATAAGCATCAATCACCAGTATTGCGCCTCTCATTTGCAAATGCTGCCTCTATATAAATCTATGCTGCACCGAAACCTGAGCCTGGCCAGAAAGTGTGGCTCTCCTTCACCCTTACTCAGTGAAACCCACTGCTTGCAATACCCCCCCCCCCAAACACCGCCCGCCCATCCGCTCGCCTGCCCCCCAGCACTGCGGATGGACTTTGCAGTGAAGTCCCACATGGCAGTGGTGCACGCTCGCAGGTGTGAGGCTGCAGCACGTTGGGATATGCGCGGGGGGCGGTGGATTGGTGGTGGGGGGAATAGGGGCGAAGGGGGTAGGAGATGCTAACCCCCCCCCTCTCTCTCTCCCCCCATGTGTGTGTGTGGCGGGTTCTGTAAACTCACATAGCGGCCGATTCTTCAGCATGGTGACCCGGGGGTCGCACCACGGCAAAGCCGTTCTGCAGGGCGACGGCATTCCCCGGGTTAGAACGTGCACTCTCTTATCTTTGAAATGCCATCATACGCGAGTGTCGCGCGGTGAATATACCGTATCTATAAATACACTCACAGTAACAACCCCTGTTAGGAGGGGGTAAGAGCGGTGTTAGTGTGGTTCGAGTGACGCGCGATCGACCCGGCGACCCGAGTTCAATTGCTGGCTAACCAAGCACTGACCAGCATGGTGAAGTATGGCAACAAAACAACCCCCACACGAGACTGTTATGGTGTGGCGAGGCCTTAATCCATTGGTGGATCTATAACGGATGGCATGTATTTATTTTAACCCTGCTGTAAAAGTGAAAATTATAATCAAAATAGATTTTTGCTTAACACCTACGTGCTACGTGAAAATGAAGTTTTACGAAACTATGAAACAGCGTCTCTTCACAGTGGATAATTAAGTGAAACGTTAAAACTGCTAAAGAAGAAACCGTCCTTTTCTCTTACGGTCATAACTATTACCCTGCTATTAAACTAGCTATCTGTATATTACCAGTGCAACGTAAGAGTCGGGCAGCACAACTGAAAACTCCTCAAATGATGCAAAGTGTTTTTTTCTCCACAATAGAACGCCACGATGCACATTCGACGAGCGCTAACACTGTTTATAGGGGCCCACGTGTGTGGCCTCAATTCAGAATTGTATTGTTTTGAGAAGACCCAGCGGAAACCGTGGACAGCACGACAAATAGCATGCGGTGAGAATATTTTTTCAACAAGTGCCGTAACGGTCCCTGGGGATGGTGATGGGTGGCAAGGGCTTGTGTATACATGTGATCGTGTGTGCGTGCGTGTCAGCAGCGAGCGTGTGCACGCGTGCGCGTTTGTGTGTGCGCAGGTGTGAATGTGCGGGTTTGTGTATGTGAATGGTGGCGCGTGTGTGTTCTTGCGCGAGTTTTCGAAGCGCACGTAACGGAGGTAATCGTGTATTGGAAATGCGCAGCGTAGGTTATGCACTTTTCATATAACGGGACACACATAACCTTGGCCCGTTTTACATCACCCGCTGCTGGTTGTAAAAGAGAGTAATATCTGGGCAAAGGCTTGTCCATAAGAGTAGTGCAATTTCCTGTTTCCGTTATAGCATGTAATATATCTGAAACTAAATATCCCACACCTGTGCAATCACACTGATCGTTTTCTCTTTCATTTATACTGTTATCTCCAAATGCCCTCTTTTTTTCTGTTAACTTGCTATCTATCAGCTTATAAAACTCACGATGTAGATAAGGATTTACATTCATATAATTTCGTGATAAAACGCGATGGCAAGTTCGAAAGTGCTTCGAATGCAATCTCGTCACGGCAAAACAGGGGTAAAGGACAGAGAGGACAGACACAAGCAAAATGCTTGACTAAATTAACTACAAATTTGAATTTGACCGGGTAAGGCCCACTGAGCTGTATAGCTCTTTTTTTTAGAAGCGACCTGGCCACAAATGATAGCTCAACGAAGTGGCTTATCAAGTGGAAATTTAAAACAGCTAAATATTATAAATGCACGTTGATTATAATTGTGGAGGGAAAAACTGGAGGACCCGGAGGAAAAAAACACACGACCACGGGGGAGAGACACGCAAACTCCAAATATACAGCAGCAGCAGGCGTCAGGGTCGGGATCGAACCTACGACCTCCTGCATACCAGGCGAGGTCGTTAACATCTCGCCAGCTTGGCGCCCCTTTAACAGAGCAATGGCAGCAGGAGACGAGACTGATGTAACGACAAACTGCGGCCCACAAGCGCACACAGTAGGGGCACAGCCAATGGAGGAGGGTCCCAGCAACCAGAAGTCACCGGGAGGAAGTTCAGCAACGTGACAGGACACAAATGGCCAGGCCAGGCCACCGCCAATCACCACAGCCACCAACCCCGAACACAACCCACACAACGCTGCACACACTTAGGGTACCATAGTGACGAAATGTTAACTTCCTCGCCTGGTATACATAAGGTCGTGGGTTTGTTCCCGACCCTGACCCATGCATGTTTGGAGTTTGAATGTCTCCCCCCATGGTCGGGTGGATTTTTGCTCCGGGTCCTCCGGTTTTTTCCCTCCACATTCAGAATAAACGTGCGTTCAGAGTATTTGGTCGCAAAAAAATGTCAATATGACAGGCCACTTCATTGGGCTATCATTTGCGGCGGCCAGGTCGTTTCTAAAAAAAAAAAACACAATCGTTTTAGTTTCATTTAACAATGAGGGACCCTATCTCGCTCGTATATCTCTCTCTCTCATCCTTTGTCCCTCTTCCTGCATCTCTCTCCAACGTCCCCATTGTGCCCCTTCCCGCTCCCTACCTTCAGCTCCCCCGAGGCCACCTTGCATGCGAGTTCGCTCACGCAGCCGGCCGCCATCCGTGCGGCGCTGGCTGAATGCAGCTCGTTCCAAACCGTGTCGCTGTCCACCTATACAAACATCGCGCGGCCGATGGATGGTCGGAAAATGAGAAGAGCACAGCACACGACGATGACGGGCCATGGAGGAGGAGGAGGGGGGGGGGGTTGAGGGTGTTTGTGTGCAAGGGGGGTAGAGCGTGCAAAGCTAACAGATAAGTAGGTTGACCTTTACACTGGAAAAATATACAAACGTGCCTGGAACTCACAAGTTGTGGCTACGGGTTTAAGATATTTGTAAAAAAATATCACTTTCTCCCCCCCCCCCCCTCCATGATTTTCTGATAAACTGTGAAAAAATAATAAATGCGCATTTATTTTTCTTTCATTCTATAAACTCCAGCGGAATGAAATGATGCATTAGTTTATATTTTCACGTAGTTTTTGCTCGGACTCTTTTTTGTTGTTGTTAAAGAGCCGTCACACGTCATGTCTCCGGCTGTGGTGTACGCTTCAGAGCATGTACATTGCAAGTAGTCCCTGATTGGTGATGCACGTAGTAATTTATTTTATTGCAGCATCGACTGCACACGCAAATGTGATGAAGTAACACCATCTCGTTGAAGTAACGATCTCCTGTATGCAAATTCCTTTTGCACACGCACGCGAGCACGTGTGCAAACTCACACACATGGAACGCCGAGCACAAAGAATTTTGTCCGATCATGCCTCATTAACATAGAGCATGTGGTTTCCTGTCCCAAGGCACCATCAAGTGCAGCTGTACAACCCTGCCATCTAAGATTTACACTGCACAGAGCGTCACCTAACAGTGGACCACGTAGGCCGTTTTGAAGCCAGAGTGATTTTTTGTGTGTGCTCCGCACAATCATCATCTATCACCATCGTTATTATCACCACCAACACCACTCGTGTTAGTGGCGGTGATGATAGTAACAAATGGCTAGAGATTACCCCGTTAACTCACTAACAAAACCGCTAAATTCAACACGTAGGCTTCCGTAACCAATATCGTGATTCGTAATTAGAATGTTTTTTTATTGCAGTCAGGGGAATGAATGTGTAACATTTAACAGTTGGGTTACGATGTTTCGCTAGAAGTTACAACCAGCATAAAATGTTGGGTGGAGGAGGGCTTACGACACACCTTTTACTTTAGCGATCTGAACCGACACTAATTTTATTATCTTTGTAAATATTCTCATAATTATCAATGATACAAATTTCATATTGTCATCATTATCCCAATGTTAATCACATCTACAGGCCTCTCATATTTTGAAATCAATTTATAAATCATTGTGATCAGTATTAAAGAATAATGGACTCATATTCTTAGTTTTTTCGGTAAAGTCACGTTGAAGAGAAACAACAAAATAACAAAATATATATAAAACAATAAAAAATTCTCACGACGTTTCGACCATAACTCAAACGGTCATCATCAGGTGTGACTTTACCGAAAAAACTAAGAATATGAATTACTGCAGTCACGAAAGCTTTAAATAAAAAAATAATGGACTCATTCATTATTTGCTCCACACTATTTCATTCAGAGGATTTTTGACTTTTCAATCCAAGAGATTCCCTTTCCCTATCGTTTATATTATAAGATAGTCAAGTGTATATCAAAAGTATTCGGGAATGAAAACGGTAGGTAACTATCAAAATATATTTTCACTCTCAGCAATGCAAAAACAAACATTGTGTGTACTTTAATTGATCTTGTTATTTATTTATGATATTTCTGAAGCTTCAACAATTTCATATCAGAGCTTAAACGTAATGGCTATCACTTCCCAGTGCTAAAGTGTGTAATCAGCGTGCTGATATTATTTGGCACAATATATAAATGTAACATATTTGTTTCATATAAAAGGGCATTATGATGAACAGATAATCAAGTAGCACATCAACATTCCACCGATGGCTCCGTCTCCTTAAGTGTTCAAGTCTTATATTGTTAAACCAGGTAAGAACTCAAGAAAAATAAAAAAAACCAGACGAGCCTAATTTGCAAGAGTGACCTGGGGTAACCATTCAGGATGCCCTGTGAACAATATTTTTCTCCCAGATACCCAATAATTTACATCACAAGTGTAATGTCCGGCATGCGACTCATACAAGGGAAGTGCCCTTCTCCATAATGTAGTATGAGGTTTCCTATAATGCACCTCCGCTTCCCCTGATTGTTCAAAGCATGCAGAGCTCACTGCTGTTACAGTACATTTGGCAAAAAAAAAACCCGGTGAATAAAAAGACAACTAAAAGCAGCCCTTCTTATGCACTCGCTTCCTGCCATCTCCAGCGGCTCGGCTATCAGATCAAGGCCAGATAAATCAGCCATAGAGAGGTGCTTTGAAGCCAGAGGGAGAGGTTCTTTCTAAGCCCTGACGGCCGGTCCAATATTGTTGTCAGATGCGTCTGGGGCAGAGCCAAAGCGATGACATCAGCCCACGCGCTGGATTTTGACCCATGCGGAGAGAGAAACCTCACGCACCATTTACACATCAGTCGAACCGGAAGGAAGGGAAGCCATAGAAGAATTATAACGTTTCCCTTTCTATAACTGTTTGCAGTTAACGCCAGCCTGCTTTGAATTGACATCAAAATCATAGCTAAGCAGCCAACAGGAAGGATCTGATACAAGTTAAATGAAAACTATGTGGGCCAAAAAATATATATAGCAATAATAAATAGTCAACATGGGTAAATACGGAAGCAAATCACATTCGTACAGTGTACAATAAGACGTATAAATGAGCTGTGATCAAAATGTTCTTAAGACATGCTTGAAGACTCATCTTTACGTAATAAATCACAACACAATAATTTTATCAAAGGGAGAGGTGTCAGTAACGAAAATTTAAGTAACAAGTATGCATGCATATAGTGAATATTTTATTTGAGATCTAACATAAGTTTCCATACGCAGTGTATATATTTAACATTCGGAATTTTTTTTGTTGTGCCACCAGATGGTATGTATGTCATCTGTTAGTTACTCTGGCAAACTTCATATTTAAAAACAACTAATGCCAATCCAAATAATAATGAAGATAGAAAGCCTGTTCTCCATTTAAAACCACATTTATTTTTTGTTCAATGGCCTATGTGTCTTCATCACTAATTTTTTTGAAACAGCAAACACTGAATTGCTGTCCAATGTTTTCAGATTTTTGGGACTGCATTTCAATTCCTGAAGATGCTCCCAGCACATGCTTTAACATTATGCTGAACAACACATGGTAGAAACCCGAAAACACATCGGTTAAGCCAGGGGTCGGCAAACTTCGGCTCCGGAGCTTCATGCGGCTCTTTAAGGAACTGCTTTGTGACCTTATTTATTAAGGAGCCACCGTCTCGTATTCACCGCATGCATTGTGGCCCTTGAAATAGAGGTTTTTATTTTTGTACCGAATTCGAAAACATTGCTCTTATAATAATAGGGGTTTTCCCCTTTTTTCTGGCAACAAAACTGAAACCTATTTACGAGGATTCATGTCTGCATTAACCACAATACCTGCAGTCAAAATGCAAACAAAAACATACTATGATAATATATGCATTGTCCTTGAAACTGGTTGGTCCACACCAAGGGACGGCTTTCTTTTGAGCCTCGACCCAATTGGTGCTCGACCAGATGACGCCAAAAGGCGTACAGCTCTTATTGTTATTTTGGTTGCCGACCCCTAGGTTAAGCTATACAGCAAAAAACGCTCGAACCTACACAACAATATAATGTGAACTGGTTTCAGTTTTATTGGTTTCATCAGCAGAGTGCAGCATTGTCAAACAACCGCTGCTAAGTTGGTAGATGTTATCAAAGCGCATACTGAGTTTTACACAGTTCTGATGATGTGTGCTTGTATGTTGAACTTCTTTCGCACCGTACGTAGCCAACCGTGCTAATCGGAGGTGCAATCGTGAAGTTGGACTGTTCTTCCATATGCATTTACAGAATAACATACAGTGACCCACCGGCGGTTGTTGAACCGTCCTGATTTGCTGAGGAGACTCTTATAGTCATGAACCTTTCCAGAGTTTGCTGCTAGAAAAAAAATTGGTCCAAACAATGCTTTGGTCTCACGGTGGTGTCACCGTTTAAACAGAAGTCATTCAATGAACGTCTACGGGCCCGAGTACAGAGTACAACTGTCTTGACAATGTACCCAATCGCAGGGGCCTTGCACAGACAGTAACAAGGATCGTGCACCAACTAAAATAAGTACTACAAAACAATGCATTAAAAGCAACACGCTGAGATATTACATTATCTTTAAAACAGTCACATGATTCGCGTGCATTGATTGTCATTCATAACAATTGAAGGTTTGCATGTGTAATGTTTTCAGAAAAAAAAACTATATTTTTTTATGTATTGACCTTCCTTTAGAGATGTATAATAAGGTACACGTATACACCCATTTAGAAATGTTGCAACGATTTATTTTGCACTATAGGCGGCTGATGTTTCCTTTGAAGTTTAGTTAATGGATTGCAGCGATCAAGATGCATGATATCTAGAATGCTCAGTTGTAAGTTTTCTATTTTCGTCAAGGAAGTGCTGCCGTAAATTCATTGATGTCCAAAACCAAAGATATATATTTAACAAAAATCTGAACAGAACACATGGAACTATATTTCATCTGGAACGAGTAAAAGTCAAGAAAAGATGCTTAAGATTATATTGCATCGTTCTACTTTTATATATACTGTATGTATAAAACTGTATTGAGTTTAAAATCTGATAGAGCACATAGTTGCCTTAGATTCAAATGCCAATGGCCTTACTGCCACAGAAAAGGTTTCAATGTTAAGTCCATAAAACCTGCTCAATGCAACTTTTTTATTGTGATCTAAAATCATTTCTCAATATCAAGAGCATACCCCCAAATTATCTAACATATGCACAACCACATTGTCCTGAGCAATAAAGCAACCTGTGATAAATGAAAACCCCAAAAGGACACAAAGCCGAAACATATTTTGACTACTATAAAAAAACAGTACCCATATTAAGGGTATAAAAGCAAAAATATATCATGAATGACATGTTTGGGAAGGATATCAGCAGCCCGTGGGGCTCTAAGGTTTCGCCGTGGTGTTGGATTAAATCATTCCCAATGGAGTGCCCGCACAGCAGTACACATTCATCACGGCTCTTGTCAAGAATGTGTTTTTAACAAACTAATTAAAATACAAAAAAGCCCAGGCCTGTAAAAACAAAAAGGAAATAACAGGCTAGGCAGCCGTACAGCTTTTTTTGTATCAAGTGTTGTTGAAATCGTTGCATAAATCCACATGAAAGCAATGCCACATATTGACCTTGCAAAATACACATCCAAACACATGGATGACTGCAACGTTGCCCTGTTTTGAAACCAAAGTGTGGAGCGAATACTGGCACAACCCGCGTAATAATGCCGAGAAGCTCTCGACACTATTTTCTAAAGCTCGTGTAATGATCAAAACACATGTGGACCTATGCCTAGGGACCTCAGCGGAGTTTTAATGAAAACAAAGCTGGAGTCGAGGGGTGAAATGCCGGTCCGACACACGAAGTGCTCTCTCTTCGCCCAAGAAACGGAGTGAGCGACAACCCGTTTAATCCGCGTAGGGTACCATCACCGACTCGCGTTCCTCATGCGAACGCGGGCAGACTTACCCCGAGGCCGCCACAAGGGAGCAGTCCAAACATCTTCTGGGATAGGGAGCCTGAAAGAGACGAAGGGGTTGGCATGGTAACTCGACCGGCCACCGTTTTATATTTTTGATGCCGCTATTTAAATCGTTCATTCAACTTGTCACGTAAGCTGATATCGCTCTGCTTAACACGTACCCATAATTCAGTTATCGCAGCCCTGACAGATGTGAATGTTTACGTGTTTATTTCTCGAAGTCACAATGACCTCTTTTGTTTTTGTCGTAAAATATATATTGAGATGGCATAGTGCCAGGTGAGTAAATTGTGTTAGCTCAGGTTCATGAAGATTTCTGCAGGATTGCTTTGTCACGGATAATATCAATATTTATTTTCCTTTCATACAGGTATAATAACGCAAATGTTATACACTGAGTCGCAGGTATGGTCTTTTCATCGGCACTTTCGCAATGTCAATTGTGCTGTTACATGGAAGGCGCATGGAACACAATTGTACGGCAATTGTGTTATTTTTCAATACAATTACCAAGTAAAATAGCAAAAGACGCAAGAAAGATTCTTAACACTGCATGAAACCAATACAATTAAATATCCTACAACAGTACAGGTGCCACTTTTACAATGAAGTTATTTGAGAGTGAGAAAGGTGGCTTCCAAGATTTTCGGAGGAATGTTAGCGCAGCTTAAAAATTAATTATCTTAACTCACAGATGTTGATATCAGATCAGGAAGGAATTCAGTGCATGGGGATGAAAGGCAGGGAAACTGTCTGTGACTAATTTTTTCTCAACCACCCAAAAAAAGTGTGAAATGTGATAAATCCATGGCTACAGGTGGTTTAGAGAGGTGCCGCAGCCTTCAAAAAACCAGCTGCTTCTGCCAAGATCCAGGGTGGGAAGATCAAATCGCACAAGCATGGCTAAAATTTATAAAGGGAAAACAACAGAAAGGGTTATGATGTAACTCCGATGTTGACAAGTACGAATCCAGCAGGGATAAAACACGTCTCTCTTTTGTTTTAAGTAAGAGCACATAACCTCGTCAGTCTTCAGTAAATGTCATCATACGGGGCCATTACACACGTACGTTACATCGACAACGTGGCATGCGCTGATTTTTAGAAGCGCTAACAAATTTGCACATTTACATGTTTCTAAAAAATGCACTTCCCCTTGAGTGCGTTTACACAGACACATTTTTTCATTCGTGATGCATCTGTTTGGAGACTCTTTTCTTCAGTCTCCATTATTTACAACTGATAGCTGTCAACTCCCACATGCAATGCCCCGTTGAAACAATCGATCAATACGTGTTTATTTGTTGCACGGAAAGTCCCATTTTGCCAGTTACTCAGAACAAGAAGAAGAACATCAAAGTGGTCCGTACATAGGAACAGGCAACGACAGCACAGAACAAATATAACCCCTATATTTTCCCGATCAAAGCAGCATTCTGTGTCACAACGATCAGCAGTTGGTCTGAAGGACAGGCACAGGGACCTGGCTGAAAATGCCACGAATGAATACCAAGATGAAGGCAGCTGGCACAAAAGGACAAGCCATCGGGCGACTGACAGCGTGGGACAGGTAAGATTAAAAAAGAGAAATTTGTCACAGTTAGGGCTGGACTTGAGCCGGTCACTCTTGATGACACGGTTAAGTGGGGCAGAGACCCAGCAATGCGTGGAATCCAGGATCAAAGGCACAGGGCTGCTGCTAGCTTTGGCCAGGAGCGAGCTCTTGACACAATGCCCGTTATGCGTATGCCTTATGTCAGCTTGCCACCTGTGCATGCCCATTATGGCGGCTCATGACAAAATCATTACGGCATCTTTTTTCATTGATTTCTCCCCCCCACCTCCCCCCCACCTCCCCCCCATTGCACTCGTACAAGGTATGAGAATAGAGACACTGAGTTGACAGACACTCTGAAATGAATCATTGTCGTTGCTGATATGTTTACATATTACATATCAGTGCAAATCAAAACGTACGGTAAAAATCATGGCTAATAACAAGCGAGAGGAAACTTAAATGAAACCTGAAATATAGATGTGCTGCCCAGATTTTGAAATGATTTCATACAACACCTGTTAGATTGCTTATAATCACTATTTATGTAAAAAAAAATCGCCGTGCTCAAACAATAATGAAGTTGTACTCATCTCCGTTTGTACTGTCGAAATTCCATATTCCTATGGTGGGTTCCGTCGTTCTGTGTAACAACCATTACTGCTCTTCCGCAAAGTGGGAATAGGCATACTCGTTGTAAAAAAAGGGCAATAAATATGTTGGGGGGTTTTACACATGTAAAACTGTCCATGCAAAACCAAATGGATCTTTTCACGTATGTGTATTTATTTAGTGGCCTCGTGGTTAGTGTGCTCACCACTGTGCTCATGATCAAGGTTTAGAATTCATCTGCAAGAAAGGACTATGTGGTCCTAAGGTGACAAGGGGTCTAATGGCATTTATTAATTTATAGAAAGAGGACAAATACCCCTGTAAGATTGAGATACATTTCACTTCTACAGCATTCGAAGCCAAACACCACATTTACATAGACACCAAACAGAGCAAAATAATGGTTAACAACTGTTTTTATACGCACTTAAAACATTTAATATGCATTCACGTACATACTGGGTACACGTAAACATGATGACCCATATTTGGTTCAGAAATGTATTTCGCGAATTGTAAAAACTAAACGTATTTATCAACGGCACATTTCTGCCGATGTGTCTTCTTCCTCACTGCCTGAAAAATCGCCCATTGCATGCTTTTCCCCTTTTAGCACAGTTTCATTGTCGAGTGTGTTGAGTTTGGATTACCTATCATGCCTGTTCACCACTGCCAATGTGGAATCACATTTTATTTCGTATGCCGAATGAATACATTATAAGGGTCGCACTCATTACACACAAAGTGGTTTCCACAAATGGAACAAAATTACCTTGCTGATCTCGTCCAGGAGCATAAACTATCAAGCAAACTCCGGTCATTCTCGCAGCGGCGGCTTTTGTATAACCATCGAACAAAGATGGTCACCGCATCACGCGCGTTCAGATGTGCTCATGTGCCTGTCTGGAACGCTCTTCCTTCGGATATTAGGAAGCCATTGGAGCTATGCACTTTTAAAGCTAAATTGAAAACTCATTTCTTTAGAAACACTTTTTGTGTTTAGTTTGTTGTCCTTTCCCCACACCTCCAAATTAGCGCGCTCGGCTATGTACGGTGCGAAATAAGTTCAACATACATACCTAAGTACGAGAAGTTAAATACATCTCACAATTATTTTGAGTGCATTTTACGTTTGATGCAAAATCGGTGATGGACAATTGTATGCTTTAATATGTTAATTGAAATATTCGTACATCAGCAAACGTCTGAAAAGTGAACACATTTATTGATATGATTGGCGTCGAATCATTTTTAAAAGTACAGTTTCCCTGATAAACAACTTGAATTTATTTGAACTAATTTTTAAATAATGTTACACTTGACAATAAATATCATCACTAAGCCTTTTTACTTATTAACTTAATGAAAATCATTATGCGCAAAAAAGTCTTTATGACGTCGTACTGACATGAAAGCCTAAATAAACACGTATTAATTTGTTATAATAAGAACAAGGCTACTAATATCTAATTTGTATTGCTATGTAAGTACTTTTAAGTAATACATTCAAATTTGTCAAAACAGAGAGGTTAAATCAATAATTTCCTGACTAATATAGTACAAGCTTAGGGTTAAACACAGGTGAAAACATGAGCACACATGCCAAAAACACACATTTATGATTTTAAATACAGCTGAGATCAAATAATGCATAAACCAAATGCCAAAGTTATTGAGTTGGGATCAAAATTGATAACATGTGCCTCCTACATTCATGGTTTCAAACAAATACACCTCTATAAAAGGTTGCACTCTGCAATACTACTTCCTTTCTAACTCCTGAAAACAAAAGTTAAAAGTGATTTCCTGCTCACATGAGCACTGAGGTGGTGCTCATTTCCCGTTTTACAGCCCTGAGCCAGTGGTGTACATTCCACATTCCCATAGCGGGGGCAGGTCTATCCATAAGGACGACTGTTGACTTGCCCACAAAGAAGTACTTGTGTCGTTGATCCCAGAGGGGATGATGGGCTGAGTCGATTCCTAATGAGGATTTAAACTCGCAACCTTTTAATTAATTGCACATGGCTCAATTTACCGCTGAGCCACCTGTCGGGTTAAAATCTTACCCCACAACGAGTTAAAGGGCACATTGCTGGTGGTACCCCGTGTGCCATTCACACTTACCGAGCAGTTTCTTGCTGTCGAGCTTTTGTCGGTTGAGTGGGTTAGTGCTGTAGAGAAGAGCGTGCTGTTCAGAATGTACCATCTCAATTTCCTCCAGAGTTGCTTTCCGACCACGTACCCTCTGCAAAAGCATTATTATTATTATTATTAAAAAAATGTAAACCAGGATCACACTAATGCTGACCAATAGCCAAATCATCGACAGGCTCAGTACAGTGTAGAGTATGGAGGCATTCTCATAAATCACCACTGCTCACTAAAAGTCTACAACCATGATGAGTAGAACACATTGGCGCATATGTCAGGATTATACATACGACTACTGCTATCATTCACGAGACTAGCAGTCATTCTCATTTTACATGGGATTGTACTGTAACAGTTTATACATATGCATTTGTTCATCAGGCTAATGCAAATGCTTTAATGAGAGCTGGATATTATATTCCAGTTTATCACTCGTAACAAGCGTGTTCCTTAAAAAGCCATAGCCATTCTTGCCACATAATGACCTATAGCCATTCAAATTTTAAATATCCCACCAATGTGTTATTTAACAATTAATTTATGTAGTTTCCCTGGTGCAAGGATAATGTCTGCATGGCTGGACCACTGCAATATTTATAAACAGGGCTTTTAAAAACGTCCATTCGTAACCCGGTACAAAATGTTTACAAATAAATGTTTAATAATCACACAAAAAACAGTTAAATTACTTGTGTTATATTTGCATATGCAAATTGAAATCTTATGTAATTAAATAAATGTAGTTCTCTCAAAATGCGTGCAAAAATACAGAATAATCTCAGTAGTTCGAAAGACATACGTCAAAATGCATGTTTCCTTTTCAGGCCTACATTACTCTATTGAATTTTAGTAAGAACGTCAAGCATTTAAATTAATAGTGTTCATGATACAGCCAACAAGACGAATCAAAAATAGATATGAAACAGATCACTCGAGGTTAAACATCCCTTTCAAAAATATTGTATCAAAATATATAACAATATTACAAACTTTCAGTTGTATTTTGTAATCTGGAAATTATGGCATCTACGTTTTAAGATCCTTGTATCAGAAAGAACGGACCTAATTGATATCACAGTTTTTATGTGTGTCAAAACCATCACGAAAGTGATACATCAACCCTCATTATACTGCTACATAGTACCATGCTATTGGCTAATATTGCTATACTACTGTGATATTAGCATGCGATTAGCATGAGTATATGAGCTCCACACTATATGTGAAAAGAACGGGCGTAATTCAGTAACCATGTCCCCAAACCACAGACATTCCAATTTCAGTCTAAATTGCACAGCTGTTTTTGCCACCGTGCATTCAATCAATTTGGATGTCTTCTCCAGTGACAATAAGGACCCTGTCTGATGTTTGTTTACCTCTAATAAAGTGTAATGCAGGGAGCCACAGATGAGCGGAGTCATTAAGCTTGTCAGTCCATCTGAATTAATGTCCTATTTAGCAAGTGTTACTCGACCCTAAGCAACCAAACCCTGGGGAGTGGAGGTGTTTATTTATGGTAAGGCAGTGTCTAGTTACGTGCCGGCAAGAATGAGACGCTCTCAGACACGTTTTGTGGGCAACTGTAAAGAATTTGGGACAGTTTGATGAGTGAGTGAAATAGAGTTTAATGGAAGCCAGGGCATGTAAACAGCAGACTGATTTAGCTGGCAAAATTGACCAGTAAAAGGGTCCTTAGAGCCGCTTAATCCTAAGAAAGTTCTTTTCACTTGACTTTTGTGATGCTTGTGAGAACAGTGTTTTTCTTTCTCTGGTGATAAGAATATCAGATAACCGTAATCCAATGACAGGCTCAATTGAACAGACTGCTGACTAAGTGTCTGTGTTTGAACTTTGAAGTGTTGCCCTTTCACTTTTGTCTTGGTTGAGAGATATTATATAAATAAATACCAGCACGCTTTCCAGAAAAACCTACAATTGGCCTGAAATTAAAAGTACTAATTAAAACATGTCAGCATTCATTTGCATTCAGTTTCGTTGTGATTCCCTGAATTAAACTATATAATTATTGGATGAATAAAAAACACAAAGGAGTATGAATATCTATGTATGTATGTATGTTGAACTTCGTTCACACCGTATATAGCCGACCATGCAATCGTTGAAGGTGGAGCAGAATCAAAATTAAATAAAAAGGGCAACATGAGCAAGATGGAGTGCTTTTAGAAAATATGTGCTTGAAAGTCGTTTCAAGCACATCTTCTCTCAAGCTTTTGCCAGGCACTGCTCAGCGATAAGCTTCCAGTCGGTTGAATAGTAAACTGTGGATATTATAGACGCAGAATCTTATTCAACATCTTCGCTAAACATTTAAAACACGACTCGGGGCAGATGCGCACAATTGGACCAATGGGAGCACTTAATAAAGTTAAGTGTTCCACGGGGCAAAAATAATTTCAAAACAGTTGCAAGAAAAGAAAAATTGATGACTAGGCATTGCACAAAGCACAAGACGCACCTCACACTTGCGGAGGAGGCCCCTCTCCTGCAGCCGAGACCAAATGCTCTGTATCCTCCCTGCGTGCTCGGGGTGGTTGTTGTTGTTTCCGCAGGAGCACTGGTGCTTGAGCATGAGGGAGTCGTACACCACTCCTGCGGCACAAGGAATAATTGACGCCGGCTCGTCACGTGTGCCCAGGGAGGCAGGCGAGCTTTGTGGGATCAAGTTTGAAGCCCTTTAATTATCTGGAAAATGTAGACGCAACAACGAGGCAGAGTATCTCTGCTGATTGTGTTTTACTCGCTTCATTTGTGAGTAGAAACAAATAAAAACGATGACTGTATACATGGTTAAGAGGAGGTTTGCGCATTCCCAGTTGTTATATCTAACGGTTTAGATGCCCTCCGTGTCATAAAATTTGAAAATGTTAAATGTATGTTGTATCGTATTATATTAAACATCAATTATATATATTAAAAAAAAATTGTTGCCATAACAGAATGAGCTGAAATATGACATATTTGTCCCCTTGAGATAGTCTTCTACCATACCAATGTGGAATTTCCACCCTTAGGGGCGACTATTGGAGATGATTTTGGTAGGTACATTCGATATATGCCATGTATACTTATAGAAAGGTGTATTACCAAACCACCTGGAATGTGCCCGATCTCATGAGATCTTGGAGCTAAGCTGGGATTTAGCCTGGCCACCATGCTTAAAATTGTTGGTTTTTGACTGTTTTTCAGAGAGCAGTGCAGCACAAATCAATCGTTATACTGTACCAAGCTCAAAAATCTATGCTTCCCATCGTCACCAACCCGTGTGGTGAAGTACGACAAGATAAGTCCTGTGACCAGCGTAGTGGAGGCAGGCCCTCGTTGAGCAGTGGATTGACCAAAAGGGTCGACGTGTTAACTGAATTTGCACGAAATGTGCACGTGCACTTCCAAGAAAGACAAAGATCCCCCGTATAACCTTAACAGACTGGAGGGGCAAGTGTTGTTAGCGAGCACCTATGAAGGCCGGAACGGTACACTAGGGGGTGGGTGGCCAGCACCACGCCCGACCGCCTTTGTCTCCCCAGTGGCGATGTTTTTACACACCGCACCAGGTACTCATTTGAGGCTGAGTCGACCTAGGGGAGGCCCAGGTACAAAATAATCGTCACTGGTGTTGGTCGTGAGCGGGAATCGAACTCGGGTCGCCGGGTTCGTAGCCGCAGCGCACTAACTGCTACGCCACCGCTCCCCACCGCACTTCCAGCACACACAACACACACACAAAGATACGAATTGGAGAATTTCTGTTTCCAGTCTTGCGGAAGGACACGGTGAAGGCGTTGCTTCTGCTCCTCCTTCTTCTTCTTCTTCTCACAGTGCGCAATGCTTCAAACTTCGTGGGTTTTTTTCGCACTTGCCTGTGGTGAATCTCAGCTTGGTGGTCGCCTGCTCCTGTCCGCCGGCCTGCGCGAAGAGCGTGCACGCTGGGGAGGACTGCGTGCGGAAGAGGGGCCGGTGGGACGGCGGGCGGAACTGCAGCCCCCCGGACGCGATCTGGCCCTGGTAAACCCTCATCTGTTGGTGGTGCTGGGCTCTCTGCTGCTCCAGCAACAGCGCCTGGTGCTAGCGAGTCAAGGCGACAACAGCGAGACTCAATTACAAATACAAAGATCCCGCACACCCCCCCCCCCCCACCCAGTATAGCCTGTACAGACTGTTGGGACAAGTGCTGTTAGCGAGCACCTATGAAGGGTGGCACGGCACACGAGGTGGCCAACACCACCCCTGGCCGCCTTTCTCTCGCCAGTGGCGATGGTTACACACCGCACCAAGTACTCATTTGAGGCCGAGTCGACTTAAGGGAGGCCCAGGACCGTGTATGGATAATCGTCACTGGTGTTGGCCGTGAGCGGGAATCAAACTCGGATTGCCAGGTTCGTAGCACAACGTGCTAACCGCTGCCACTCTCCACTTAAACTACACACACACTTTATTACCATTAGTCCATATTTCTTCATAATTGTCAACACAAGATATAAATTAATGTTGTGATCTCTGTGCAATGTCTGTGGCTGTGGGGTTAATTTAAAAGTGAACCAATTATGTGTTTACAAACCAGATTAATTCGATCATTTAGAATAATTAGTTACATTTTGTATCGTTTATGATATGCAAAGCAATACTTTTCAAATCATGTATTGTATTAACTTTAAGCCTCACATCTCATCTGCATGAAGACAATCTCAAGCTTGGAAATATGCATACTCGTAATATATGTACACATATACAAGATATAAGCAACAACAAAAACATCCATTGGCGTAAACGTTTTCAATGATTTTGATGGATAATTAATGATGAAAAACGATCCGCGGCATAATGTCCAAGTAAAATAGAACGCATTCCATTGCAACTTTATGTTTTCTTGCCAGAGGACTAACTTGCCCTGGGTGGCTACTCCAGCCAGATGCAACAAACCATGCAGCCACAACGTTTGTAGATGGAACCCTTGATTTAGGAATGCATTGTTGTGACTTTGAAGAGCGCAACCTTTTTGACTTTTGGTTTAATTACATGCAATCACATTTTTTGGAACATACCGAGTTAAATTGGAACTTAGTATTGCCAAGGGTATGCATTACTTAATGAGGCATCGATACAAAATATTACTTAAGAGCCATTTCCCGATCATCTTAGAACAATAACAACACGTTTTATTTTACCAGGCAAGGGCCACTGAGCCATATAGCTCTTTTTCAGAACCTACCTGGCCACAAATGATAGCACAACGAAGTGGCTTACCACGTGGAATGTATCGTAGCCAAACACTCGAAACACACGTTTTTAAATGTAGAGGAAAAAACCGGAGGACCCGGAGAAAAACGCACGCGACCACGGGGAGAGAGACACGCAAACTCCAAATATGCAGCAGGCGTCGTCAGGGTCGGGATGGAATCCACTACCTCCTGCATACCAGGCGAGGTAGTTAACATCTCGCCACTGTGGCGAGATGTGAGAATTGAAATGAAATGGCTTAGAGATGCAATTTCCGATTTGTGCTGTGTGTTGTTTCGCACGATGTCTGACTTCACGGGAGCGTCAGCTGGGAACTGAATTCAGTTCCTGAAACAGCTCATGAAAAACGTGCGCTACGACACAAAAAAAACACATTAGAGGGCTCTACAGCACAACTGTGAAAACACTTAGTGGTAAAACTGTTTAGTGACTACTAAGTATATCTCAATGCCTTTGCCATACGTGAGATATAAGGAAATATGCACGCTGAAAGTGTGCTACGTTCGAAATAATGGACTAAAATAGAACGTATTATTCCACGTAGCATTTTTCTGCAAAAACTATTACTGACAGTGTTACTAAATAAAATCACACAAGTGTACATTAGGTGCGGTCCTAAGGTCAAATTCTTCTTGTCAGTGTTTACATCAACACAATTAACTCTTGTTTGTTTGATGTTCCCTTGTGGCTGACAACACGGTGCCAAAACTCACACGTGCCTCTGAAATTTCACAACACTCATAACGTTCAGTGTCTGCCGACCGCCTGGAAGCCGCCCCTGACAGGATTGGTCTCACGGGCTCGCCTCAGAGGGCCCCCCCTGGACAATGACTCTCACACAAGTGAACAGCCATTGCTTGCTTTCACCGAGCTCCTCCTAAATACACCTCATACCGCAAATATTTCTCGTTCCCAGAGGCTCGCCTTCCCGCCCGCCCGCCCGCTCACATTTTCACGCAGCTGAGAGATGGCACGCACGGCCGCTACGGAGCGGGCCAATAGGAGGGCGATATGCGGAGGCCCTTCCAATCCCATTTCCGTCCCAAGGCAGATCACAAGGCCCCTAGGTACCCCTTTGTCTTTCTCAAGCCATGGAACATATGGAAACTCTAGAGCCCCTTTGTAAAAGTCAGAGAGATTGAATATCTCCCAGTGGCAATGTGAAAACACCCAGTAAACTTTCAGGGTCAGCACAATAAGCGCCTTTGCCACTTTGTGCATTAAAAAGGCTCAAGAGGGCAACATGTATTAATGACGCCACCGTTTTATTTTTAAAGTATAAAGCGAGGCCTTGGCTATATATTTTTTTACTAATAGGGCATCAAAACTGGAAACACTGTATACACTTGGGACAATTTTATACATTAGATGCACTGAATTGTTTATTTGGAGAATGTCATAATGAATAGAAATAAGAATTAGTGCTGCGGCGATGCTGTGTTAACCTATGTTATAGAGCACCCCAGTGGTGTTTAATTAAATGTCAAAAACCATTATTTTAAATTTACATTTGGCCTGAGGTTCACACAAGCATAATAACTTCCTCACGAAGGTTTAGTTTACTGCAACATAATTGAAGGCACATGAAATTATATAAAAAAGGTGCAATGTTATATCAAGAACATAAACGTAAAACCAGGTGCATGTACAAAGCCGTGTTGAGCTTTATGCGTATTCCCCCTAAAACAAAGTAAGAAATATACAATTTAAGTGTTTAAAATGTTATCATCCAAAAAAATATCCTTCGATCCAAAGCATATATAAACTTTGGGCAAATATGTTATGGGATGGATTTGAAGACATTTTAAAGGCCAAGCAACTTCACGAGCAAGCTGTATTTAGCGACAATAAATGTAGCACTGGCCACATAAACACTAACAAGATCCAAGAAAAGGTAACTGTAAATAAAATACCATTATGCTTGGAGGTTATTGATTATGAAAATACATTTTTTTTCAGTGGAAACACAAATACATAGTAATTGAAACAAACTGTATGTAGAAATTATTAAAACCTTTTAGAAAGAAGGAACCATTACCATGTGGGTACATGCAGCCACCAACAACATGCAAATCTAATGAGTCAGACAGGTTGATACGCCCTGATGCGAATGTGATTCATCACAAGATATAGATGACATTCTTTGTGTATGAGTAGCAGAAAAGGCATGCACATACATTTGTTGACCACAATGGCTGGAAGACTTATTTACAGGAAATGCTTGATGAATTGCATGAAGAAATTCGCAAAAAAACAGGACTTCGTGAGAAAAAAACAAAGTCACGGGTCAAAAAAGTTTGCTCAACAAACTAAAATAATTGTTGGAAGGGACACGACTGGAGAACATCAGAATATGGACACTTTGGGCAAATCGGGGCCCAAATTAATGGGAAAAATATGCAAACAAAAACAGGATTGAGTGCCTTTGTAAAAGTGAATTAAATAATGAGAAAATACAAAGTGCTTGAAGAAGACTTTTTGTTATAGCTATGAGTGCATATTTACTCGACATAATATATAGATCGGAAACACGGCCATTGATGAAGACAACTAGTCAAAATCTGAAGGGTGAGCAAAGAAGAATATGACGATACATGTTCGGAATTACAGTGGATCAGGGAGCAAATGTAAATCATAAACATAAAATTGACCATCATCATCATTAGACCTCCTTTGCCAGTACCAAAATATAAGAATAGGGTTTTTCCCCTTTTGGTGTCATCTGATCGAGCACCAATTGGGTCAAGGCTCAAAAGAAAGCCATTCAAGGACAATGCATATGTTATCATAGGATGTTTTTTTGTTAGAATTTTGACTGCAGGTATTGTGGTTGATGCAGACATGAATCCTTGTAAAAAGGTTTCAGTTTTGTTGCCAGAAAAAAGGGTAAAAACCCTATTCTTATAAAATTGACCGTTTTAAAAGAAATTAAGCAGGCTTGGTTAGAACCCATCACGACAAGGAATGACGGCCAATGGACAAGGCCGATGATGGAATGGGCAGCCAAAGGTGGCAATGCACCTGAGAGGATTTTACCATAGCAGAGGATGTAGGGACGAGGTCCGTTCATGTGCAGAGGAAGATTGACGGTAGCTTTGCAGCAGCACGATGGATGCCAATGGTGTGGGGTAGGCATTTGTTCCGAAATGGATGGATGATGTTCGCCGATGGTGACGACGACGACGATTATGATGAGTGCTCCAAAGATTATAGAATTACACCTGACGTTACTGTCAGCAAATATTTTATTGGGACCGTATTTGAGAGATTCCTCGTGCTTTAGTATATATGAAAAACAAACTTCCCATAATCCAACACTGCATCGGCACAGTAAGCACAAGACAAACACATTTTGAATGAACATTTTATTGTCCATTTGTGCTATTAGCAAACAAATAATCTGCACTCAGTTCCTTCTTCGTGAGATGCAAGCAAATTATTATCTAAACAAACACACACACAGTATGCATGTAACACGTACATGAAGGTACTCTATTATGCACGAGGCACGTCTTGAATTAAAATCACGTGACAGTGTTTTTTTAATCGCATGTAGCGATGTTTTTTAATGATTTATTTTCCCATGCTCACTGTTGACCAACCTTGTCGTCTTCCCGGTGAACTGTGTTTATGCACGCAACTTCTCCATTATTAATTCATTACTTATCAAGTGCAAAACTTTGCGAATATATAAAGACGTTCGAGTTGCACAGTGTTTTGTATGCAAACATAGGTTAACCTCCTCTGATAATAGGCTATTAAACAAACAGATGTTTGAAAAACTGTAATACACGTCTCAATTAAGCATTTCCATGTTTTGACAGCTA